AGATTGCCAACCTGACGTTGGGAGGGAGCCATCGAATGTTTTTGCCATGTTCCTCAGCCTTCTCGTGGAGTACATGTTAGTCAGGATGGTAAACCGTCCTGTGATACCGTAGTCATCCAACCATGACCTAGTTGAACACAGAAATGGAGCACCATCACATTGGGAATTGTCCAGCACTACTGCGGATGGAACAATTCCTGCAGTTGGTCGGAGCTGTATCCCATTATTTCTAGGGTGTCATCCATGCCAACTGCAGGATGGTGCTCATCCACAGTGAAACCTTCCAAGTTGGAAAAGGGGCCCTGTTGCACCACTTCCATTGAGGTCTGTTCTCATGTGGCTGTGGGTCAAAACCAATGGTATTACTTTCCCATTTTAGAACCTATTTTAGTGGTTGGATTGGGTCCTCGTTCACTGGGGGCTAACTGATTTGGATTTTGACCCATGGCCATGTCGCCCATCAGGAGCCGCTGTGCGCCGCTGGAGCCTCCCTGCTGCAGCGCGCCGCGAAGACCTCGGCCTCGGCCCTGGACGGCGAGGCGAACTCCGACGCCTTGGCGACAGAGATGCCTCCGCCCACGCGACTCGGAGACGCACTGCGCTGGTCTCCATAATTATTAGCGGAGTCGCATCAAACCTGACTCTCATTGGCCCTCTGATTTGTCAAGCTTTGGTGTTCAGGTTCTTTGGGCCAGTGAGCCACTTGGGTGTGGCTCAAAATTTATGAGCTAGGGTTGCGAGGTTTTAGTCTTCAGTTCCATTTCCCAAGGTGCCATTTTAGTACATGTTTTTGAACCACAGCCAGGTCTCCACAATTCCCCTGCTTCCTGGCGGAGTCGTATCAAACCTCACCCCTATTGGCCGAAAGGCGACCTTTTGTCCTCTGAGGTGGTTTTGCCGGTGGCGCTGATTTTGTGTTCAGGTTAATTGGACCAGTGAGCCACTTGTTGGTGGCGTTTCTTTGCGCTGGATTGGCAGCTGGGCCAGTGATGTGCCTGCCTGTTATTTGACCTCCCGTGACAGTCCCCCAAAATGCTACTGTGGATTGACAAATCCTGCAGTTGGAAGGTGGTGTACCATTTATAGGGTCAATTGCTGCATAATTTTGTCCATTCACAGTAGGTTGGAGGGAAACGACACATAGTTGTGCATCACCAAGATCAGCCGCTTCCAGGCACATCAATTGGCGTAGCTACAATCAAGACTTGTGCAACTGAAAGGTATGGCACAGTCCCAACCAGAAGTATGCCTAGATAGGTGCAGCCGTTCTTTCAAATCTTTGCGTTGAGAAGGCCAAGTCTTAAGGATTTTGATTTCTCACTTGTTTATTGGATATTGCCAGAACAGATATCCACACAGTTTGGGAAGACGCCTTTGAGGGTATGCTTTAGGCCCTATACAACGACGCCAGCTAGTGATAGGTAGTGATGGGCTTCGGCTTGTCGTTTTTCACTTTTGGGTTACGAGTGGGACCCCATTTCAATAGTGATAAGGGCCCCGTCAGGAAATGGCTCATATTTCGGATGTGTTCAAGCTCCGGTGGATGCTCTAAGTATTGCCAGTACGGGACCATGCAACTTTCAGCTTGCCACAATTCACAATGCTTGCTCAAGTGCGCTTGGTTGTGTGACTTTCTGAAACAGGCACCGTCCCTGATGTGGCGACATCTGCACGGTTGGGATGGATGAAACTTGATGAAACTAAGGTTCTGGGAGCAAACACCAAACCACCTACCAACTGGTGCAGATCCATTTAGCATATTTTCAAGTGTGACGGTTGGGTGAAAGGCACAAGTCTGAGCCGTGTGGGTCACCAGTAAGCTTTACAGAGACATTGTGCCATCTACCAACTCATGGTGACGCCTGCCGCTTTTTACAGGGACCAAAATTTAACAACCCCCCATCTTGCTGGTGCTTAGTAGGGAATGAGTTTGAACTTTGGCAATTGATGAACACTAAAGATTGCCTTGGAAAAGGGACGGTCAACTTCGAGGCTAAGGCGGCTAAGAACAGTCGCGAGATTTAATCGGGTATATCTCAGCAGACGGTAATTACGAGTTTTCTTTTAAACATCTAACCAACTCAAGGGTGAAAACAAAACTCCTTAAAAACGACCGCTTGACGTCAAATGAAGTTAGGATGGAGTCGGACAAGATGCTCCCCTCCATGCTCATGATCTTGGCACTTCTGGCCTTTGGACCGCAGGCCAGTGGGCCGGTGGTTTTCGAGGCAAAAAGGCGTTAAACGGAACGGATTTGTTTCAGCCTCTGTTTGTTAAAAGAAAAGGTGAAGGAATTGTGAAAATCTGGTTTTGCCAACCCAATAAGCCAAGCGGAGGTCGAACAACCGCCTCAAGCTTGGAGAAAGCACGGAAAATGGGGTCCCCCTTTGCCGCCGATTTCTTGTTCAGTGCTTCCTCCACGTATTGGGTTGTCGATAGTCCTGTCCTCTGTGTGTAGGTCACGTCGCCATGCATGTGCGACAGGTGCTGGAGCCAATCGCATCGTGCATCAGCGGCTGGCTCTTCATGAAGCTTGCCATAGCTTGGTTCTGTCGGCTTTCCCCTGTGTCCTATCTTGAGGGGTTCTCGACATGGGTGGCTCGCATTTGAAGGGGTCCCTTGTTGGGTGGTTCAAAGGGAAACCACAAGGATTTGGCAGTTTCTTGAATGTTGCTATCACCATTGTGAGTTTGAGGATGCCGACGCTGTGAAGAATTTCTACCGGAAATTAGGAATCGCATATTTGGGTGGGAGTTTGGCAAGCTTTCCGTAGAATTGCGTGAAACTGGTTCCCATGTTGAGCTTTGGCGTTCCCATTTTGACCTACTTGTAGTCTTCTCCCGAAAGAAATCGGACCAACCGAAATGCCAAAAGTTGTCATCCTTGCCCTAAGACAAATTGGACAAGTGAGGAAAGGGGCCACCCGAAGCATCGGGGCTGTGGGGTACTCTTCCCCTCGATTTGTTTGAACCCCCCCGCCGGAAAAAGAAAATCGGAGACGAGCATATTTGATGCAGCTTGTTCAACGATAGGAATGGGGGGGCAGTTCGAACACGGGAGCATTGCTCTCGAGTCTGGGACTTGGCCAGGCTCCCAGCAAAAGTTCATTGTGACGAAAATGGTCCAGATTCAGAAGGGGTGCAACTCTTTAAAGAAACATAAATGAAGCCATCATCACAGGGGAGCAAGGTGCGTAATTGTCGGCCCCTACTCATGGCTGGTCTTTGGCGTGACCAAATCGCCCCAAAAGGACATGTTGGAAACCAAGTTGGCTTTTCCATCAAACCTACAGAAGGTCCATCACGGCCTTTGGCTTCGGGGTCTGATGTTTGTTTCTTTGCCTGTGTTTAAGGATGCGCTCCATGGGGGAGAAGAATGGGCTGCCTGAGTCCCAGCGCTTTTGCCAGGATGCCGCTTGGGTTTGAAAGATCTGCAGGAAGGTAAGGGAGAGTCCCAGCCACTCAAAAGGGGTGTGGATACCCGCCTTTTCAATTCTTTATACATTTGTTTGGGAATTTTGCTTTAAGTGCAAAGGGGATTGACTTCACCTGTTGGAACATGTGTTTGAGACTCGTGTACCCGGGTTTGCTTCCAGTGCAAAGGAGATTGACTTGTAGAGCTGTTGGACACTAGCTGTGGCTTCAGTTTTGGCCGAAGCCCAGAAGGCTTGCGGGATGCGGTCGAATTCTGCCAGTTCTGAGGCCAGTTCCCATTGACGGACTCAACTCGCAGTGTTGCCCTGTGGCCGGTTTGGGGTTCCTGGGTTCCTTTCAAGCAGCAAGATAAGTTTGTGCAGGGCTTTGGCCAAGTAGCGGAGGCTAGGGTCTCAGCTTATGTGAAAATCTCGGATTGCCCAAACCACTTCCCAGAGATCCAATCTGAGGTTCTAAGAAATTACTCTTAGTATCTTGATTATGCCTGAGTGAGGTTTTCAAGTACCCCACAAGCACTCTGATTAGGCCAACACGCGTTTTGTTTCCAGCACGTAGACTGTTTGCGATACACCAACCCCCTTTTTCTTGGTTAGTTTGGGGGTGTCCCACTTTAGAGGCATCCAAGGGCCAAGTCCCGGACCCAAAGTGCGGCATTTGGGGGTCGCAAAATGATCTGATTGTGTCTATTGGGTCGATTTAATTGGGCCCATCACATTTTGAGTCCAGCTGGGTTCTCAACATTTTCCGAAACTTTCTCCCTGCTCGATTAAGCGTATTGAGGGCAAACCAAGCTTCTAGTGTCCCAAATGAATTGGCAGCAGATCTGGCTGAAGGTTTGCATCGAGCACTTGGGGGATGCGCAGATGCGCGAGCAATATGGTTATATAGATAAATTCTCGGCTTGAGAACCAACGCTGGATGCAAGTGCGGTGTTTGCTTGTCCTTCAAGCTTGTGGAAATTCAGGGTTTACGGCCCACTTTCTATGAAATCGTTCTGGAGATGGCGCATCATCCAACCAACCAGCCAGCCAGCCAGCCAGCCAACCAACCAACCAACCAGCCAGCCAAACCAACCAACCAGCCAACACCAAATCCAAATCCTGCAAGATGTTGGACTCACAGAAAGGGGCATTTTCCACAGCTATGTTGTTCTTGGTTTGATGTCTCCTGGCCTGCAGTCGCCATAGGGTCATAGGACGGTACTTGAATCATAGACATTGCTGCATGCGTTAACGTCTTGCTTCCTTGGCCGCCTCACTCTTGCTATTAGTTGGTTTGCAAGCTGTACAGGGGTGACAACATATTTTACAGTTAAATGTTGGAGACCAAGCAGCAAACCCCGTGAGCTTTGGCGTAGCTTTGCCAAGGAGGTTTAGGATTTGTGATTCCGCGCTTGACGAGGACTCGTGTGTTTGTTTTGTTGAAATTCCAAAGTGAATTTCTCAAGTCCAGCCATGTTTCCGGCTTTGCTTGTCCGACTGCAAAATCTATATATGTGCCAATTGGCCAATGTATTGGTGTCTTGGTGTCGCTGCGAGCCTCTCGCTGACCAACATGGGGTAAAAGATGGGCTTGGTTTCTTTTGGTTTCCCTCTACCAGGAACCAAATGTTCGACCCTTTACAGGATCATTGAAGCAAGCCAGTAGTGGGTCCTTCTCGAACCGGAAAGGGTTCCTGCTGCCTTGTGAGGATGTACCAAACGACCCCTTTTTGACCCCTTACATCCCAGCAAGGTACAAAGGGAACCTCTAAGGAAGTCCAGAAGGACTTCGAAAATTGGCTGGACGTGATCCCGGACAACTCCGAGCCACTGATTCGGGAGGTTGGCAACCGAGAACCGCTCACTTACAACCAGCTGCATTCCTTCGCCAAGGCGCGCTCGCTTGGGGTCGACCCGCCGCAAAGATATTTACTTTTTCCCCAGGTTCGCTGGACAGCTGGGCAACAAAGAAATCAATCGCTGAATCAACGGCCTATTGACCTATCCAAGTTTTGGTTCTCACATGTTTGTCTATTGGCCCTTTTCTCTCCTTCCGCGTTCCTCAGACATGGTGGTTTCCCTTTTTCTTTCCTCTTGAAACATCAACCCAAACAAGTTTCCCAAAGCACACACACCTGGGCGTGTCTGAAGGTGGGAACTTCCCAAAAACAACGGTTTGTTTCCTCTTGGTGTCCTTTCAAGCCACTCACAAATGTACCTCTCAGGGCATGCGACTCAACGACTTCCCATGCTTCGAGTTAGGACCAGGAGGTGTGGCTCAGCCGCTTCGGCATCGGCCTCTCCGACCGGGTGTGCACGATGATTCCCAACGGCCCTGAGGCCGAAGCTGCCAAGCTGGGCCGAGAGAAAGCCAGTGGAATGAAAGCCAGTGGAACGTTTGGTGCTGGGGAAATTACGAAAAACGCTATGAAAGAAAGTGAGCGTTTGGTGCTGGCAAGTTTCATCTTGAAATATTACAAGAAAAAGACACAGAGGCGAGCAAGGAACCACAGGACTGACCTGTTGTCCAGGTGCATCCGGTTGTCGTGTGGTCGTGCTTTTGTTTTCTGCTAAGTTTCCCTGTGCTGGGGGTAGGGTTTAAGTCGCATCAGCTTGTGTAAAGTCACATCGTTCGTGGGGGAAAGCATCCCCCGAGGCAACCGGCCCGCTGTATGTGTTGGAGTGGAGTCCCATCGAATCAGCGGGGCCGTTGGGTTTAGGTCTCCCAGTAGTGCCCTTTTACCCTTCTTTCGGGGAGGATTCCCCTACTAACATAGACTACATAAAAAAGTTGGTACCCCTCTTCTAACCTCTCTGGAAGACCGAGTAGTGTTCGTGCTGTTTGAAATCCAGAAGCGCGAGCCACGTCCGAGACTTGCTGTGGGCTTGGCAGACTGAAGCTCTGGGATTGAAGCCTTTGCTGGGGTTTGACTTCCAGTGCGATCCATACAACACGAGGAAACGTCTGCCCGGGGGGGGGATGTTTTTGTGCTATGCGCGGTGTTCCAGCGGCATGTGCTTGCGCTGCACTGATCTCAAGGGAAAACTGGGCAGGGACACTGTGTTTGCAGGGATTTGATTGAGCCGAAGCCAGTGCAGTTACCTGCGCTCAGTGAAAGCAAATGCCTGGAGGTGATCAAATTCTGTGATTCTTTTTGAGGTGCGGCATTGGGGAAAGGTTTTTCCGGTGTGGAAACACACAAAACGTCACTTTTTGCTCTCTGGGTGTTAGCTGGAAGCCCTCCTTGTTCGTATGTGTGGGACGCAAGCCAAGCAGCTACTTGTGCGGCAGAGTGCCGCGTGCACTGACGAAGCGCATGGCCAGATGCAAACCATGATGAATGATGTGACTTAACGCGTCCCATGAAGTATTAGTTGGCAAAACCAACTTGTTTCCATGTTAGTGGCAGGGAGGGTGCCTACTGTGGATGAGAAAGGCCGCCTAGGATGGACGTACCCCTACATGCGTGTGTCTTTTTGAGGGTGCCCTTCTGCGTCGGTTTCAAAGGGAAGTCACGGGGAAAGCTCCATATATATATATATGTTTAAATATACATACTGTGACAGGTGTACTCACCCGCGCTATGGAGCTTGTCCATCCATATAGTTTCCAAGTTTATAACCTCACGTATAGTTGCATTGCTTTAACCTGCACCTGTTTCAGACCTCAAAGGAGTTGTGCGATTGATTCCGTATTCAATGTATTGGAAGGTAGTAAGTAAGTTGGAAGCCCCTGCAAGTATCATGTGCCAGGTTCGTTCTCCTGGGGCAACCATCCTCCCCAGACATTGATGATCCTGCGGGCAAGAATCCCGAACTGGGTCCAAAGTTGGCTCGGCCAAGGAAACACCCTGTACTTGGAAATAGCCTCTTGTTCTCGTGGTGGATGGACATGCCTTGGATGGACAAAGTCCGGTTTCACACCAGTTGGTAGACGGTTGAGCCCAGTAATCATAGGTCTCCATCCACCCGAACTCTGGATGGTGCCCATTTCCGGTAAGTCTGTTTGAGTGTGTGCCAAAGGAGGACCCCAAAATGGTGCTTGTCTCAATTTTGTTTGCCTTTGCACCATGTTTTTCTTTGATAAACTGGTTTCATCTCAAATTTGAACCTTGGGTTTCGTGTCCCGGAGCCATGCCACGCGTGCGGCCTGGCGTGCCGGGCCAGGCGGCGGTCTGCTTCCTGGTCTTCCCGCTGCGCTGCGTCTTTGCGCCGCTGAACCCGGCCTTCACCGCGCCGGAGATCGAGTTCGAGTTTCAGGACTGACGCAGTGGCCCAAAGCGCATCGACCTGAAATGACCTTTTGGTTTTCCCATGTTGGTCCATTTTTTAGTAGAGGTACCATTGCTTTTCCCATTTTGGCCCATTTTTAGTAGAGGTACCAACAGGTTAACCTTTTGTTTCCAACTCCTTTGGGCAAGTGAGCGGACGCTCCACCCAGTTTAGGGTTGGTTCGGGTTTGGCTAAGGGTGGTTTGGGGTGGCTTACGGTTAGCGGAGAGCTTAAGTTTTGGTTTAGGGTTGGTTTATCCCAACATGACCAAACCACTGGGACTGAGAGTAAAATTTTGCCAGGGATGCTTTTGTTTTCTTGTTTCAGACATGCAGTTGGACCGGTCAACCCAAGGTCAACCCCTTTCAAGCATCGCATAGGTCTGGAAAGGATCCGCTGCTCAGTTGAATCCTGACATTTAGCTTCTGCCGAAACGCGTGTTTTCCCGCTGGCCCCCCTGTGGTATAATAGCCAGTTGAGGATTTTCCAAAGGGGCCATAGGTATCAATGAACCTTCAGAATGCCCATGCGTACATCTCATACTGATGTAGCAGAACCCTTTGAAGGGGATTACAAACTGTGGGTGTTGTAATGGCAACCACAAGGAAACCAACCATGTTTGGGGATCCCCCAACAAAAGACGCAACCAGCTATGGTCTGTCAACAACTTATCCTTAGAGGTCTCTTGAGCCAAAGAAGCCAGTCTGTCGATCAAATCAGGCAAAATGTTGAGACTACTTTTGTGCACGTAGTCTTTTTCTCACAGCGCACAAACCATGCGAGGTGTTTGCGTAAGCACTACCTTTTCTTCATGACGCACAAGCTCGGCGCAACCTGTTTTGGTTCAGATTGCCTGGACAAGTCGAACAAACATGTTTTTCAACCATCATGTGCATAGACTCACATGTTTCGCATGTGTGGTCGGGCTAACAAGGAGTCGCGGACCCCACACCGTGTCTCCCAAAAGAAAGTTTATCTTAATATGATGATTTTTGCGGTTCCATGTTAGTCTGCCGGAGTGTGCGCAAAGTAATTGCTGTGAGGGAGCTTCCCTGTCAAGTAGAGGTCCAACACAACTTTCTGGGAATGAGGCAAATCAAAATTTTATATTTCGGGGAAGGGCCTGGAAGTGCGCGTTTATTACGTGAGCCACACACCCGGAGTCACATGTGGAATTGTCTCACAACGGGGAAGCTCTCTAATCATGGGGGTCCTTTAGTCTACCTTTGCCCAACAAAAATGACGCACTCACCACAATAGACCTAGTCAAAATGGCCCAACCATACCCTGATAGTATTGTTTGTGGCACACAGAAGGAGCCCATTACACGTCGAGCGACCCGTGCACCCCGTCCCATGTCCCACAGCAACCAGACAAGGCATCGCAAGTACCAAATGTGTCCAACGGGTGGGTCCGGGATGATTGGCTTTGAATTCAGGCCGCCCCCATAAAGGTGAACGGAAAAAAACTCGCGTCCTCTAGCGGAGACATCCATACCATGTTGTGGGGCTTGGGTTGCCTTTTGGAAAGGGAAACCAAGGGAAACCACTCATTTACTCATTTTGGGGGTCCAAATCCCTGTTTTGATACATACCCTGTTGGGAAAGATTCGGGTTTTTTCACCCGGAACATTCTTTCGACTGCACTCGCAGGACTTGCCGTGCCACACCGTGGTGGTCATGAAAGGTGAGGACAACTCCGCGACCCTTCAGGCACACTACAGGTTGCGCCAAATTTCCTTTGGGTTCTCCGTCCGCAGGACCTTTTGACTGGGCCAGATTTAGACACCCTGCAAGTCCAACTCTTGCTGGTTAAAAGGAAGAAAGAAGGAAAGCCACAAACGCAAAGCGTAATAAGCTAAGTCTGGCAATGTTACGATGGCATCCTACTCAGAAAGGCAGAAGCGATGAGTCATCACACCTGGTCGTAGGATCACGCCGACCCATTTTGAATAGAGTGAACGGTATGTACGAGCTGCTCTCTTGTCCAAACGGCCCGGATATGCAATTGTGAGGTATTTCCTTGCGGCTTCCCTCACAAAACAGTCCAAAGGTTCGGCCTTCTTTGCAGCTGATACCCGAGAAGCGCAGGGTTCCATGTTTTAGACCCTCCCTTGCAAATGAAATCCAAGGAGAAGGTTCCGGAAGAGGAAGATCCTCTGAAACTTGTGGTCCTTCAGTTTTTCAGGTCTTAGCTGAATCGGGGGGAGAGTACCCCAACAATTCCTCTTGACCCCGCGTTGTCGTTGGGGTGCCCTTTATTTGCATGACCTCTCAGAAAGGACTATTCGAATAACATCCGACTGACATCCAGGCTCCATGTTGCTCTGCAGTTTACCCCAAGTAACCTGGAACCAAATTCTGGGACGGCTCTGGTGGGTTTCATACTGGTTATCCAGCAACTGACTTGTTTTGTGGTGAGTCTTATATTCATATAAGACTTTACCCTGGACGAAATTAGGAGACAAGAACATGATTGTTTAATTGCACGATTTGGGGTTGACCGTTGACCAAGGTTAGGGAAGGAATACAGTGCCGCAAGCACGGGGGGCCTGAAGCACCCATGTCTCATTGCCAGCCTGTCTGACCTTTTTGGTGTTCCGTCAAGTGTTTCTTTTCCAACAACTCAAAAATGGGAAACTGTTCTTTTCCAACCACTCAAAAATGGGAAACTGTTCCTTTCTATCCACTCAACAAATGGGAAACTGTTCCTTTCCAACCACTCCAAAAATGGGAAACTGTCCCTTTCCAACCACTCAAACAATGGGAAACCGTTCCTTTTCAACCACTCAAAAAATGGGAAACTGTTCCTTTCCATCCACAAAAAAACTGGGAAACTGTTCCTTTCCAACCACTCAACAAATAGGAACCTGTTCCTTTCAATCCACTCAACAAATGGGAAACAGTTCCTTTCCAACCACTCAACAAATAGGAAACTGTTCCTTTCCAGCCACTTCAAAAATGAGAATGCATTCCTTTCCAACCACTCAAACAATGGGAAACCGTTCCTTTTCAACCACTCAAACAATGGGAAACTGTTCCTTTCAATCCACTCAACAAATGGGAACCAGTTCCTTTCCAACCACTCAACAAATAGGAAACTGTTCCTTTCCAGCCACTCCAAAAATGAGAATCCATTCCTTTCCAACCACTCAAACAATGGGAAACTGTCCCTTTCCAGCCACTCAAACAATGGGAAACCGTTCCTTTTCAACCACTCAAAAAATGGGAAACTGTTCCTTTCAGTCCACTCAACAAATGGGAAACTGTTCCTTTCCAACCACTCCAAAAATGGGAAACTGTTCCTTTCCAGCCACTCCAAAAATGAGAATCCATTCCTTTCCAACCACTCAAACAATGGGAAACTGTTCCTTTCCAACCACTCACTGAACTGTTTTCATACGCTTTGCCCATTTGAAACATGGCTTTTTCCACCAAAATACAGGGGAACCACCAGGCAATGTTCAGGTGTATTTCATTGAAGGATCCCTGTTGCCTGTTTCGCATAACACAAATAGAGAGCACCGGAGGCTCTCAAAAACGCCTCGATAGGTGGCGGCCGCGCAGAAGGTGCAGGTGCTGGAGATGGCGCCTTGGCGAGTTTCGGAGGTCTTCCAGGATTCGAAGGAGAGCAACGGTGGCTGTGGGTCAAAAATATGTACCCAAAATGGGTTGCCCTTGGAGACATGGACCAAAACCTGCGGTTTTATCTGATGGTTTAGTTTTGACCCATACCCACATGGGGGTTGATCAAAAGGTAAGCATGGGGTGACCAGCAGGGAAACAATTAAAACTGATGACTTTCACCACTGAATGGGGAAGTTACCCCTGGCCGATTCGGGGGCCAGGAGTATTGGTCAACCCGCACACGGTGTGGGTGTGTCTTGTTTTGGATATATTAGGGACGTATTGGCATATTCCAAACTCAGACCAATGTTCCATCCGTGGGGGGGTTGGATCAAAACCAGCCCTGTTCAAAATGGGTGTACAAGAATCCTTGTGTTTAGGGTACAGAGCCCAACCCCATCCTTATGTTTAGGCGGGGTATATTCAGCTCAGGCACATCAGTGGAACCTTAGCAAGAAACCTCCTCTGAGGGTAGAATGTCTGAGTCCCGAAATCTTAGCTAAAACAGCTCTGTTCTCTCTTGTTTTTGGCGGGATTATCAAGAATTACTATCAGGAATGCCACGAAAATGATCCTTCATCCCAAGTGACATCGCGTGAGTACATCTTTTTAGGGTTGCCTTAGAAGCCAAAAGAAACTACTCATTGGGTGGGGGTGTGGGGGGTTGCCCTATTTTGAGACAACCCAACCGCGGCGCACAATGCCACAACGTCCCAAAATGAAGGCCGCCCCATACTGACTAAATGGGTGGAAAACAAAACGTTCGATTGGTTTGCTTTTGTTGCAAATGAGCAATTCTCGGAGAGTTTCCAGCTGTTGCTGGGATACTTCAAAAAAAACTCTGCAAGCCCAGAGAAAACAAGCAAACACTGGTATGTATCCCTAGCCACTTAGCAACGAAATCGTGGGGTATGAACTATCCGTTTTCCATCAATCCTGAAAGAAAGCTGGTCGCCTTCCACTCCTGTCCACCTCCGGTGATTGTTGGAAGCAGGGTATTCGGGGAAACCAGCAACGGGATCGTGTGAGTCCATGCAATCCGCCTCTCCCACATGGAACCGGAACCCGAAACGCCGCCCATTTGTCGAGCAAGCTCATTGGGCGGTTTCCTTCTTCTTGCTTTCTGAGGGCATGGCCCAAGAAAAAGAACAACTAAACGTTTCGTGTTCCACATTGTCCAAGAGACAAAAGTTACTCAGGTCCAACCAGAAAGGATGCGAGTTGGGGTTCCTTCCGTTTTGCCTCAAAGTGGCCGTGAGAAAAATGGGCACCCGGTTTTCATTGGTTGATCACTGCCCAGTGAGTATATTTGATCACTGCCCAGTGAGTATATTTTCGTGAACTCCATTTTCCAATGGTATGTTGGAGTTTGGCCCTATATTATTATCATACATGTTGCTACACTACAAAATGGGTGTATCTTAAAATCCGGGACGCCTAGACATGGTTAGTATCTGTTGGATTCCCTTTTAAGCAAATTCAATCGGGGTACCGGGCACTCTCCAAAAAAGACAGCCGCACATATTTGACTCTTGTCTTGATGCCAAAGAAAGACACACCCAACCATTGACCATTGTCATCCACTTGGTGTGTGTTTGTGTGAACATTCGATTCCGGCCAAAAACAAAAACAACAACAGACACACATCCCCTTTCCTCTGGCAGGAGCCTTATTTCTGCCGCCTTTTGCTGCCGCTTCCTTCTGCTTCGCTCGGCGCTTGCGGTTCGTTCGAGGCGGCGAGTTCGACGACGGCGGGGCTCTTCACCTTAGCGCTGCACCCGCAGAGCCCGGTGAACTTGAGCGCGAGGCGGACCCCCAGCACCGAGACCCGCAGCGCGCGGAAGGATGTGGCGCTGGCACCTCGAACGTCGACGCCCAAAACGATTGTTTTAAGGGAACATTTGTTGGTCTGTTTTTGTTTGTTTTAAGGGAACATTTTAGTAGGTGGTTTTGTGGGTTCTTTAGCAAACCTTTTTGAACATGTATAGCCACCTTGGAGCCAAAAGTGAATGAAGGTTTTGGGCGCGGCTAGTTTTGGGCGCGGCTAGTTTTGGCCCATATTGCCAGACTTGATTGACGTGTGTGCCATGCATGTCTCGCTTTGCCCTTCTTGGCTTCAAAATCCCCTTTCGACGAGAAGAACTACATATTAACTTTGCAAGGGGTCTACGTCTGGCCAAGATGCTAGGTTCCTTGAAAGTTGTTGAGTCGTGGACATGGTCATGACGAGCCAATTTCCTCACCCCCGCCTAGTAATGGATGGAAGGCGTGGGGTGTGCGTAAGGAAATGAGGCATGCTGGGGGGGGGGGGCTTTTGTGTTGCAAAGGGGGATGTACAGGGTTCCTCTAAGCGTCCAATCTCTTATGTTGGAGACACCGCAGTCATCGAAAAGTCTTGCAGATAGATCAAGCCTGAACGAGGGTCCAAACAAAAATAATGTTCAATCTCGGGGGGCTGCATTCTCTCATTTGATAGATATAGTTCAATCATGGGGGAGAAACTTGGAATAGGTCCAGGACCCCGACACGACAGGTTCCATGTTCGTGGACAGGAAGGTAATAAATTCTTACATGGGTTGTGTCCTCAACTGCAATCACCAATAGGGAAGCTGAACCTTTGCTCAGGTGAGCCACAATCAAAGCCCGGGAATTCATGAAGTTTAGTAAGGGGCAGTCCCAGCCGGAAATCGTTGCGGATATCCGCCTTCGAATAATTCTCGAAGCGTGGTTCTGGGACGACCATTTTTGTACCAGGTTTTGATTATGACTCACCTGGCTGTGGGTCAAAATGAAACCACCAGGGGACCACAGGTTTTAATCCATGTTTCCATTTACCAGGGTTCCATTTTGGGTACATAGGCGTCCGTTGGTTCTGGGACGACCATATTACTACCGGGCTTTGATTGTAACTCAGGTCTTGCACACCTCCGGGACGACGAAGAAGCCAAAGATCGCGGCCTGGAAGACTACCCGGCTTACCCGATGGTTCAAAGGTGGTTTCGTGTGCAGGGGTTCGAGCAAAGGGCTGTTCGGGATGGTTTTGGCTTTAAGCCACTACAGGCATGGGTCAAAATTCCCTGATTTGTCTATGGTCCATTTGGGAGGGGGATCCTCCAAACATCTCCAAACTGTCCATGTCCAGTAGGGTAACAATATGTGTTGACCCTGGGATGAGGGATCCTGTTTTTGGGTTGAATGATGAGGGTATACCTGTTTGCCACGCACACGGAATCCCTGCCAGAAGGTCCCTTAGTTCATGCAGTTCATGCAATCGATTGTAGCTACAGACTTCATGTAAGCTCCTTGAGCACGGTCATTTGTGGGTTTCTTGAGGCTAACCCTGCGAGGAAGATTCAAAGAACCTTGAAAGGTATGGCGGCCTTTCGTTGCCTTGCAGACATTTGCAGACATGGACATCCAGATCGATACACGCATGGTTGGTTTGTATGGGGTGTCCCTTTTTGGAGAGAGAGAGTCCTCCACCTTTTAGTGCAAATATGCTCCTTCGTGCCCGCAATGTTAGACACTAGCCCAACGGAGGTACCGCTGACGCATGAGAACTTGACTGTGGGCGCCTTGTGCATCAAGTCGACCTTGCAGAGAAAGCCGGAGGACGTGTGCCACGCCTGATCTGGTGTGATGTTACTGTCGGATGAATCCGGAGGACCATACGTAATATTCAGAGGAATCCCTTGAAAATCAGCAAATCCCGTCCAGAAGGTGCACCACCCCTGCTTGGTATGGTCCTTCGGATTTATCGAAGTTGATTTCAGAAGCTCGGCACAGGCATGATGCGCTTCGAACAAATAACAGTCAGATTTTATTATTTGCCAAACTGAACAGCTGCGGAGTCCTCTGGTCTCTTGGCAGCTTGTGTAGTTGCCTTAGGAATCATGTCTCCGGTCATGAGGCATTCATAGGAAGCCCTCAACAAAAACACAAGCACATTTTCTGTGGTTCCGAGGGAATCCCGCTGCTAGAAGTGAAAAAGTAGTCATGGAATTGGATTCGAGCGATCTGCCCCAAACCACCGGAACCCAGAGGTATAGGATATAACTACTACATGGTTTTGTCGCAAAGGGAATCCCTCCAAAGTGGCTTTGGTTCCCTTTCGATTCCTCTGAACCACCCAAAAATGCCACTAGTGCAAAGGGTGCATACCAAGTGGTTTGGGAAAAAGCATCATCTCGTTTTTTCGTTTCCAGGGACGCCGTTTCCAGCCTTGTGCAGGTGCTTGAGGTGTTTGAACCTGATAGTCACCATGCAAAGGGCATGTACTGTGTGTATACTTTACTACGTATCTCAGGCATGCGGACCCATCTTAGATGGAGTCTTGTGAACCTGTACCCACGAAGCCAGTTCAAAATTTTGGTGGTTGACTTTTGTTCCTGTTTAGTGGGTGTGGGCTAACGGCTCCAATATTGAGGCGTGTCAGACTGATGGCATTTCTGCTGCAGATCTATCTCTACATGTTTATACATATTCATAACTACTATCTAGGCCATAATATGAAGCGTAAATACATCATGTCGCCCTGATTCCCATGATCGATGAACCAATCGAAGGTAAATGAACCTGCCCCCACCCAACCAATTGTGTTGTGGCTGATTTGTTTCAGTCGGGGCGAACGGGTCTTGGAAGCCGGTGCTTTGGTTGGGACCTGGTAGCCTGTTTGTAAGGGTATATATCCCTCCCTTGGCAGTCACACCCATCTCAGACTGAGATGTTTCAACCTGTCCGCCACCCATCAAACCAATGTTGTGGTGGTTAATCTATATTAGTTTATCATCCCCTGTTCAGTGGGGGCGAATGGCTCCAAGATGGTGTTTGACCAACCAATTGTGTTGTGGTTCTGTTTTTTGGCCAAGGGGTCCAAGTTGTTTGAACCTGGGGTTCATGAACCTGCCCCCACCCAACCCCATGTTGGTTCTTATGTTTTTGTTTCCTTTTTTCTTTTTTTTGCTGTCTGCGTTTTGGGTGGCGTCCCAGGTGTTTGAACCTGATGCCTCTCTACCACATCCACGGCCTCTCGGTGAACGTCCTGGCCACCGCTATGTCCGGCGCGTCGGTGATCTGCAGCCCGGGCTACCGGGGGCCCGACAAGCCCGCGGCGCCTGGGACGGGACGACGGGTGACGACGGGAGACGGGCTCGGTCGGAGGCGCAGGGGACGTTTGACGTTTGACGCGACGTCGGACGTGCTTTCCGGCCCGGGCGTCCTTTTTTCAGGGAAACTCCAAGGCCCAACGCCTCATGACCCTTCCCACTTTGGGGGTCATGACCAAATGTCCAAATGCAGCTGTTTTGACACATGTGCCATGCTGCTTGGTTTGAACCGGGTCTTACGGCCTTATGTGAGGTCTTTGGGGATAGGCCTTCATACTGAGGGTCTTGGGCTCCTTGGGAAAGGGAAATCCATCCCACTTGGGGGTCATGTCCTGAGTTCCCTATTTTTGACACCTGTGCCAAGGTCAAAATACTCTGGAAGATTTGGGGCTTGGTAGGTCCTAATAAAGTACTCGGAGAACCAATATAAAGGCTCCTAGTGCTGGAAACATGACAATGGCCTACCGAAGTGTTGACCACGGCACATGTTGGCGCGGCTTACATTCTCTAAGGGATTGAGATGAAGCAAAAATTGTGGTGGCAACAAAGTCACCTGATTCGGAGACAAAAAAAAAAACGGCTTCCCAGATTGATTTTTCAGCCTCTTGAAGCAAACCCTAGAAGCAAGAATGGCGCGTGTGTACCAAGGTCATTTGACACGCTTCTCGGGGATGGAAGGGGCGGCTATCAACCCCTCGGGGATTCAGATAACCAGCAAGCGTTGTTAGGGATCTGTGTCACTTGTCACACTCACCTGTATAACGTTTGGACATGGGGTTATTCACCAACATTCAATGTCATTACGGAACACAATCAAGTCCTTTACCGCTGCTCAAATGGATAGGGGCTGGCTGGTCAATATGCACTCAGACTAGCCAACATGATAAACGCGCTGGTGCGTTGTTTCGTTTTTCTTGGGTCAACAAAGAATACCACGTTTTGGAGTTGATAGTATGAAAGTGGGTAGCAGACCTCCATATATGAATCGAGGACCCCGACATGGGAACGGAGGGTTTTCTTGGCCATGAAGGACTAATTCACTCAGCAAGAAGAGATGAGTACTATATGGGTCATATATTATATGGGTCACATCATATGCGTCACGACCGATGTACATTGGGCCTTTGATTTACCGATTTTCCGCAAGCCAGGTCCAACGGCGGCTGGTAAAGGAAAGGTTTGGGTTCCGTAGAGTTTGTTGTTGTTGTTTTTTGGGGAGGGGGTGGACCGGGGTGGATGCTTTTTAAGGGAAGCCAATTTAATAGTAAACTCACCCATGCAATTTGTAGGGGTCCCCAATGTTTCGATACACAAACATGTGTGTGAGAGAGAGAGAGAGAAAGTACATATAGAGTCTTATTTTAGCCTACAAGTCGTGTTGTTCCCCCCCCCAGTGTACAGGCAACCGGTATGTCCTTGGAACTGGGTCATGTACAGTATTCCCCATGTTTTTTAGGAGCTTGCTCCATGTTTGAGGGGCCAATTTTAAAATTTTAGGAGCTGACTCCATTCAGCCCCCAGCCAAGCGAAGCCGCTGAGGAGTGGCTGAGCTCCGGGGCGGCCAACTGGTACTCTGCGGTGCCCACCATGCACCAGGGCATCGTGGAGGCGATGCATCGGTCGATGGGTCGGTTTGGTCGGTCGATTTGGGTCGGTGGATTTGGCGGCGTTGGGCGTTGGGCTTTGCTGCGACCGCTCTTGGGGGGGGTTGGGGGGGGGAGGGGGTGGTTGGGGTGCGGGGGGGGTTGGGGGTTGGGGGGGGGGGTTTGGGGGGCGGTTTGGGGGGGAGGGAGGCGAGTCTTGGCAAGGGGGGGGGGGGGGCAGGCGAGTGGTTGGTTTTTGTTGGTGGTTTGAGGCTGTGTCCCTGAGAAAGCAACTAAACCTCTATCCAGGGGGCCAGCTTGTTGTTTCTATAGTGGAGGGGGGGATTGCTGGGTCAACGTGTTGCGTCTTCCAGCTTTGCCCTCTGAAATGGTGAAAGACAGTTAAGGCCCAGGTTTGGCGTTGAAAGTTCGGATGGGTGCTGCACGCATGGATGTGTTGCTTTTTTTTCGAGGGTGCTGCTTTGAAGGGCAACCACAGGGACACGATGGTATTTTTTTTGCAGGTGCCCCTAAGAGACGAAGCCACCGACATGGCTTGTTCCTTTTGATTTTCCTTTTAGCATTCACAGGAAGAGTTCCTGACTTGAGTCAAACATATTGCGACCACCCCAGCAAGTTTCTGACCCTCAGGACCATTGCCTTTGCCCTCTTTTGGTTCACAAGGGAATCCCAAAGGAAGAGCTCTCGGCCCAAACCTCTTTGCCAACTTGCCAGGCTCATCAGCAGTCTCAGCTCATGTTGGCCGATGTACAACTCACCCCCGGTTTTGCTTTAGGATTCGCTATGTTTCACTTTTGGAGCATGTTTGCTTCACCAGTAGCAAGGTTTAACTTTTTGCAGGGGCTCACCGGGTACCTTCCGGCAGATTATATAACGTGGACCCCTACCCGAGTTTGTCTTTCGGCCATTTGTTTTTTCCGGAGAACTCCGCTTTGGGTCTCATCGGATTTGGTCTCCTTTTGGGTGGGAACGCCTTCTTGGATGTCACGGCAATCTGCTGGAGGAGGTCACATTTCGTGCCGAAGCCGGTCGTAAGGCCGCCTTGTCCTCCGATGACTTCAACGCGGAAACCGCCGGCGTGGGTCTGATCCGGAACTGCTCGGCAGCGCTGGCCGGGGCCCCGGGCCTTGAAGGTACGGATCTCTGAAGTATGGCAAGCACATCAAGTACATTGGGCAGTGATTTGTTGCGCGTGGTGGGCGGAATTTGCTGATGTGTCCAGGATGTTCAAGGAAGTGAGCTTGTTACTTTACGCAGGTCGTGGCGAAACAAGCATCCCCTTTGTTTTCGTCTACAAAATGAGCGAGGTTGACCTTCCTAGAATCGTTTTAGTTTGTTGAACAAAAACAAACAACACACAAACAAACAAGCGAAAGGGGGTCTCTCCTTGGGTCACCACCATTTTGCAGCAACACAACCATTGTCAGTTTAACTTTTTTTCTACAGAATAATTTATGCAAATGCATGCATTTTGTAGAGGCCACATGTCACTTGCGTTCTTTGCAGGCCATATCGATTGCTTGGTTTGTTTCGCATGTCGGCACTGGTAGGTGGGAAGCCCCAAGTTTGCATTGCATAGATCCCTATCTTAAGTGACAGCAGTTTGTGTTGACCACTGGGTAACAAGGACAAGCGTCCCGTCGAATTCAGGCACGTGCTTGCTCCAAACTAACTCATATTGTCGAATCTCCATCCAAACTATGTGTTAAACTACAGAATGTTTGTTCCAACCCCACCCCATAAATTCACAGCGGGATTCAAAAGCAATTTTTCCACAGTGGCATGTGAATCGTGGCTAAGGAGTTGCATTTACTCAAGGGGATTCGTACTCCCTCCTCCCTGAAGTCCATGAGTCATGGCCAGTGCATACCACTCAGCCAATTGAGTGCACAAATCTTGGAGGGCACGCACAGACACACCTGCAAACAAAGCTTGCCTCAGTTCAACGATTTTTAGCATTGAGAGCGACTTATGTCATTGGGATGAAACGCCAGCCAATCCTGCAAGCAACCGCCGCCAGAAGTTAAGTCGAGATAAGTCATTGGGTGCTCTCCTCAGGTTACCTAGAGCGCACGCAGCTGGAAGCAAACCCGAGCGCTGTATGCGGACTGGTCGTAGGTCCCCCAAGCGGGTTTTGACCAGGCTTACCAGCCGCTTGCCTCGCGTGCCCTGCTCCTGAAAATGTCGTTGAGCTATGTTGCGACCCAAACAGCCGAGTGGTTCCGGCGGTGTTGGCTGGGGCAAAGAACCCGAGAAGCGAGCACTGCTTCGAATGGAGGTTGCTGGCCGCTTCGGCGGGTAACGGCCAATCTTCACCGTCACTTGCTGCACAGTGAAGGACATGCTCCACACTCATGGCCAGTCACCCTCGAAATGGTGGTAAACAACCAGCCCCCAAAGAACTTCTCAATATGTTCACTTGAAGGGGCCGGTAAACAGCGACTTCCTCTTTGAGGGGACCCATCTATTTGCCCAACAAGGATGTCAAAACACAAAGCCGAGGTGCCAGTTCTGGCCAACAAGATGGAACAGCTCTTCCGGCATCCTGGCAACAGTTCAGAGAGCGACAGAGAGGCAGAAAAAGAGAGAGAGGGAGAACAAACAGAAAAACAGCTCTCAAGGTTGCAAATGGCTGTGCATGTGTTGATTGAAGTGGCACCTTTGTTTGGTGGCTTTCAAGTGAACCCAGAGGAAACATCACATATTTTGGGCTGCCCCCGTTGCAACACACAAGACGCAAACCCTGAAAACCCCTTGAACTTCGCTGGTCCCCCTCACTTTCGGGCGACGAACTGAGAGAAGCCACGCACATGGAGGCTGGCCGCTTTGCTCAGTTGCCCAAAGCGAATCGACCTGAAATGACCTTTTGGTTTTCCCATTTTGGCCCATTTTTAGTGTACCAAAAGGTTCACCTTTTGTTTTCAACTCCTTTGGGCAAGTGAGAGTGAGTTTGAGTTCTGAGAGCGCACCGGAGTCAAGCCTTTTGGAAGAGTCCAAATTGTCCCAAGTATTAGTGCTTTGTACAACAGGTTGAATGATTTTAGGGCTTCCAGGTACTGGATAGGCAACCAAGAGAAACACCCGTTTAAACCAAAAGGAAGCTGACCTTTTAGTTTACCTACTACAATAGAAGCTGGGATCCACTGGGGATGAGTGAAGGGAACATGAGTGATTTATGAGTCATGTTTTTGGGCTGTCGCCTGGACATAAGCCGCCCATTCTACTCTGTTTGTGTATTTTCCATATCCGCCTTCGTGTTGCCTTTCTTGCTGGTTCTCAGCAACTGAGGGAATGACCCCTATCAACCATGAACTGCGGCTTCCTTCAAGAAATTCCATCCCTTCCAATCATTCCCAAAACCCTGGGTGGTTCCCAACAAAGAAGCGGCAAGTTTCGGTTTCCCAGGGCGAAAGCAGCTCGAGGTGCGTGGTCATGCCCACCTATGCCATGTCGGAAAGCCAGAGGCTCAGAACGGAACCCGGCCACTTCCCAGGTAGCAGGTAGCAGTGCTTATGGTACCGTTCCTTGGTGGTTTGAGGTCCTCGAACATTGCTTTTCGTTGGGCCCACTGAAGAGTTGCCCCAAAATAGGGCCTTCCGGGCTTCCCCTTTTTTCAGGAGGGTCAAGGGGGATTCCCCCCCCCCCAAACACATTTTCCTAGAAGTAGAGACCCACCTTCCGGGAGTAAGCGAACCCAACCAAAGAAGCCACCCATTTTGGGCCCGCAGCAAAGGCCTGTTCAAACGAGGTTCACTCAACTGCCTATTGAGTGGCGAGCTCACCGATGCAACATGAGCGAAAACCGTGATGTAGGTCCTGTTGGGACAAATACTTGTTTCAGGAAGTGTAATGGAGTTGACTGTTTCCCGGAATTTTCTACGCTGCAGATTTGGCTCCTTTAGCTCACCAGGTGGTTTTCATCGCTGTTTTGTGTAGATTCAACGCCCCTGGGTTTCTGGGGGAACGGGGCACTCAAATCAGCCGCACATCCCTGGTGATGCGCTCGGGAACTTGTGTTGAATAAATCTCGCGTGAATGGGTGTGCCTTCTGGAGCTTGGAAAGCAAAACCGGCAACACCACCGCAAGTTTATTCTTTGGGCTTCCATGAGACAGCACATGCCAATCAGTAACCTTCTTTCCCCGATCTCAGAGATTCCTCAAACAAGAAGGGTTTTGTGCGTGGTTCCGTTTTAATTTGGAGTGCAAGGGTAATGTATGGAAGAGGGCATACCGCGCCTAAAACCAAATTATTTGGTTTTACCCCACAAGCCCATTATATGTTTCTCTTGTTTTTAGGCTTATCATCCCCCATAAATTACCAAGCCAAAGATCACGGGGCCTGAACCCCACAGCTCCAAAAGGCCTGACTACCAAGCTTGGAGATGAGCGTGTGGAGAGGCCTAGACACACGTAGGAGCCTTGAAGAGCAAGTATGGCAAGGCCTCTGCAAAACGTCATGGCAATCTTGGGATCAAAAGTATTCGAGCTTTGAAAAAGTATTCGAGCTTTGAACAAGTATTCGAGCTTTGAACAAGTATTCGGGATTTGAGAGGGACACAGAGAAACTCACTAGAAACCCAAGAAAGCCAGGGGACTTGGGCTTGGGGGTGGCTTTCATGTCAGGTTTCTTGGGCCGAATGGCAGGCGGGCTTTAGCCTCTCGTGTGGACACAGACCTGTCTTTGGTATTTGTGGTGGCAGCGCTTAACCCCCCCTTCCCCCCCCCTGCCTTTCCCATGGGCCATTTTGGTAGGTGGTTCTACCTGGTGGCATGGGGCTAGGGCTGTATAAATCTTAGTAGCCGTGTTGGCAAAGCCAAAAGTCAATGCGTCGTGGGCGGTCGCTGGGGTGCGAAATGAGGCGTATGCGTAATTGAAGCTCGCAGCACTCCTTGCGGACTCCATGCGTAAGCTTACAGAGAACAGCCAGCCATTACTTTGTCAGCTTTGATGCCCCAAGCCTTGCCAACCGGAAGCAACATGTTTGGACATGTCTATTTGTGGCTGGTCAGGTCACGTTTTTGCTTGGACAACAGACACGGACAGTTGTCAGACCCGCGCCCCATTCGGTTGCTCCATGTGGTGGTGGCTTTACGCCCTTTCAACAGCTATCAGAAATGAATATGAGCAGCAGTCAGAGAGCTGACAAGCCACCAGCATGATCAATACCTAAAAGAGACATTCAGCAACCATCACTCATCCCCCAATAACCATTCGCAACATTCACTTACCCGCAACAACCATCAGCAAGTGTCACTAAACCCCCAACAACCATCAGCAACCTTCAATTGTCAGCAACCACCACTAACCCCCAAAATATATATATATATATAACAGCAACCGTCACTAACCCACCGAACAGCCATCAGCAACCATCACTAACCCCCCCAACCATCAGCAACCATCACCAGCCCCCCCCCGCCCCCCAGCAACCCTCAGTAGCAATCAACCATTTGAAATCACTTGCGCTTTGCTGATTTCGGCCCTTAGGTACCCAGCCCCCAAATCGACGGTCGATCCGAGGCATGCCCATCGCGTCCAACCCGCTTCCTCCGCACCTACGAGTGCTGAGGAGCGTGGGGCAGGCGACGAAGGGTTCATGGCTGTGGTGTGAACCCCCAGGCCGCTTAGACTCGCTCGGAGAGTTCCTGGACTTTATACTTTTGGGAGGACAACTTCAATGGTACATTTAAAAAAAATAGAGCTTTTTGTAGCCCATCTACTCAGGAAGTGAGTACGTAGAGCTTATGGAAGCACACGGCTAACCCCCCATTGAGCCTGCAAAAGGTGATCCCTACCCAGGTTTGGTCAGATTCTGAGGCCTGCTTGAAGAGCAAAGTTAGACTCAACCTGTTCCAAAGTACAGCTCCGTGTCTCACGCTCCGTTTTCATATATTTTTTAGCGCCAGCCCCCCCCCACCCCCCGACCGAAGCACCAACTGCCTTTAGTCAGCGCAATTCCGACGATTGGAACATCACCACATACGGACTGCCTTCAGTAAAATGGTGGCAGTTTTTGCTAGCATCGTAATAGTGCCAGCCTGCAATTACTCAACTGCATGGTACACGGTGTGTGGAATACGACGCTAAGAAATTCGTCCAGCTACTGCCCCTAAACACTGATTCCCTAGATGCGCGTTTGATCCATGCACCGTACCCAGGTACCAACGGAAGTTGGGTGCATCAATGGGTGCGGACATGAAGAATCCCGTTTCATGATTTTCCATGGGTTGTGGGGTGGACACCTGTAGCAGATGTTGATGGCTCCGTCAAAAACCCGAGCACCTCTATTGGATCCCAACATCCGGCTGAGCTCCATCCCAACAAATGTCAGTTAGATAGCTGGGATCCATCAGATGGCACTTGGGCAGCCTCTGAGTTCCACCCAACGCACGGCACAGGATGAGTTCCACCAAACAAACGCTGAGTCGCCCAAAACCCACGTCTCGTTTCATAGCTGAGTTGCCATGTTTCATCGACGCTTTTCCCTTGGCCACCTGCTCAATTGGCCCAACGCAAGCCGCGGGAGTCCAATCAGGCCGCGGGCCCGGGCATGGCTTTGCGGCACGAGGGGAGCGACGCAACGGTGCAGCCAGGCGCTGTCCGGGATCAGAGGGGTCCAAGGCCCTTCTCCACTAGGTCCCACCGACTGACATGGAGCACGGTGTCTTGTCTGCTGTTTGGTTGGATCCTTAGACTTTAATTGTTTGGTTCTTAAAGGTGTTTTCCACTAAGCCCCACAAAAAGTTCAACTTGTTGCAGGGGGGTCAACAGCAACCAAGGTGCAGGAAGACGACTTTCCTCTTGGAAAGGGGGCTTTCTGCACTTCCATGTTAGTTGGTGGGAAGGTAGCCCTTCTGTTTGACCAGGTTTACATCATGGATTCGCCAGGCTATCTGGGAACAACCGTCAACGGTTTTGGGCGTTTCAATACGAAGCATTGCGCCCATGAAAGGCCCCATGCCTCATCTACTTAGTCCATACTTTTGAACCCTCAATTCACCGTCTTTGAGGGTACCCATGGTACCTTTCTTTGGCTAGTTTGAAAGGGAACCAAGGGCGCCCACCATTGCTGGATGTGTTCATTGAGTAGGCAGGGAGCCGTTGCTTATGTGAACTGTTTGGCGCGGTGCGCGTCTGAAAGCTCGTCCGGGACTGTCAACCAGCCGACCGACCAACCAACCCACCAACCAACCAACCGACCTGTGTAGAGTTGAATATGTAGGCAGCCTGTAGGAGATGTGTTTCAAGCTATCAGTTGTATTTTGCAGAGGGAGCACTTTGTGGCTATCCCGGACCTGGGGTCCTGTTGTCCTTTAGACATGTTTCACTTCAGAATCAAGCAGACATGGGTGCCTTTTTTTTCCCGTTGGAGGTTTGGGATACTGTGCCTAGAGTATAGTCGCTAGCTTTTTGTCAAAAGCCTAGAGCCCTTGTCACAAACGAGCCTTCGGACTTGTGGCCCTTTTGTTCAACCCCACAAATCACCCAACGACCGATTCACCTGGGTTTTGTGACCCATACAAATCCTTGAAGGTTTCTTGTTTCGGTCCATGCCTTGCGTCAGGTCTGGGAATCATGAAATAATTCGGCCAGATATATGGGTGTGTCTTTGTTTGAGGGTGCCCCTCGTGTTGTGATTTTAACGGGAAACGCCAAAGCCATTTTGGGGGGGTCCAACCTTAGAAAGGACACGCCCATATCAACCAATCTTGCTTCTGGGACAAGGATTGATTGGACCCTTCCCACTGAATTTGTCCCGACATCCACTGTTTGCCACATTGCTTTGCCTCTAAAAGAAGGATTGTCGTCGCAAACACTTATGCCTTATTCACATTTTATAGGGCGTCTTGTAGAGCACCAGAGCGCTGAAGAGGTGTGTTGTTTGCCGTCAGTTTTGGCGTTCGCCGAGTTGGGTTGTCTCTGAAAATTGTGAAGGCTAGTTTACTTGCGTCAGAAGCTTCCTAACCGATCGGATGCAGGAGCACGACGAATTTGTGCAGGCAACAAGTAAAAGAGCTATTCTCCAGCACCCTCCTACTAATTACTGCCCAGGGGGCAGTAGATAGAAATTTCCCAAAACCGACCGTAGTTAGAAAAAACCGATGGCTTGTCGCTTGGACCTTCTCTGGGCGAGCAACCGCAGCCGCGACCCGGCGCCAGGAGAAGAGGCAGAAGTCTGTGTACGGGGCGCCTGCGTTACCAAGGGTTACGCACCTCGGTCGCCGCAAGACGATTCGGCCGGGAGTTCTCAAACTGGAGCACCCCCCCAAAAAAAAGAAAAGAGAAAACAACAAATATATTTTGTGGTATTCCATGTTGGTTTCCTCTTCAAAAACCAACCAAATAGGGGTTCCCACCAAAACGCCTCAATTGTTGGCCTTGGCAGGGCAACTCAAAGCTTGCTGATACATGCATGGGAGCAATTATGAACTCACCTAGAAATTATACCCACGACCCATTACTTGGGGGGAGTCCTATTGCCGGCTGTTCAGTTATAGTAGTCTGGCCAGATATATGCATATGACCATACTATGTGTATAATATACATCTACAAAGCTTAGATATTGTAGCACCTATCCCGCGTTGTTTAGGGTTCCCCAGGGTTACCCTCATAGAGTGTGTGTGGTGTCGGGATTTATTGGTTCACCCGAAGATGGGTGGCCGTTCATATCCTTTGAGTGAAGCTGGGTGAGGACGAGCACAAAACAGGTGCGCGGCCACCAGCGACCAGGTTGGCCTTCTCCGGGGTAGATTCGGTGCATTTTGCCAATGGATGTTCGGACTCGAACTTGTTGCCAACGAATTTGGGTTTTCCACTAAACCATTAGAAGTTCAGTATGGTCAAATGAATGCAAGGGAGAACACTTGCCTGGAACGGCGTCCTGGGCATGTGTTTGAACATAAATATGTATATATATATATATATATGTGCGTTGCGTGTTTCAGGGTAGCCTTGTGTTGGGGTTCTGTCAAACGAAGCCACCCATGTTTGAATGATACAAACCCATGCCTGTATGAGTGGATGGTTCGTTGGACCCTTGGAAATCCCGGGGCCACGGCCAGAGTTGGAATCTGAAGCCACGAGGCGAGACGAAGGGCCTCAAAGAGGTCAGCATCACATCATCCATGTGCGGAATGTGTGATTTTTGTCGTTCCCCGTTCATTTCTCTTGAAAGGAAATGGCCCTGACTCGCTTTTTGTTGGGTCCTTGGTGTCCCTTTGGTTTCACAAAAAAAAAGGATCGAGGCGTGTGTGTTAGAGGCTAGGACTCTGCCGTTGCAATGTTGTAGGTTGGGTTGGTTGTTGCACCCTATACTGAATGATTTTCCTGCACCCATCGGAATCCCCTCGAAATGATAAAGTAGCCACAGGGATGGGAATCAACCACTTCTTTTTCCTTTACCAGGGCCAATGTTCAATCCGTGCAAAAGCTCGCTGGCAAACCCGAGTTTGCCTCAGGAAATGCGCGCCCACATGGACCAGGACTGATTGGCTGTTGGGATTGGTTGGGAGATTTGAACCCTTGGCTCCCCTTTTCCAGGGACCCTTTTCTCAGGCAACCCTTAGTTGGTGGTTTGGAGTGGCGGCGTTTTGGGGAACCCTGGCTTTTGCGGAGGGCAAATGGGAAACCACCCCTCGGAACACCAATCCAAACCAATCCAAACCACCAAGAGGGATTCTGAGATACATTGGGGAGAGAAGCACTGTTACCAGCTAGCTGATTAGGAGGATTCCCTTTGCTAGATGAACCATTGGCCACGATATATATGCTGGTCCTCAAGAGCCTTGCTTCGAGCCTCCGAGCGAAAAGACCCAGTGCCCACTTGTTCTGTTTTTTTGGGTTAAAGTGGTCGCCCATGAAATTCAACGGCCTGTCATTGTTCTCCAGCCACTGGGGGGTTTGGGAGGAACATCCAATGGCCAACTTGCTACCCATGGGATCGTTGGAGCACTCTATTGAATGAGGTGCTCCCCCTGCACATAGACATGAAATCAGGAGGGGGGGTCCCCAAAAGGAGATTTCAAAGAAGACGAGGTTTTTCGGGTTCTGGCTTAATTTGTGGGGGAGTTTCTAGGTGCTGTCTCTTGCAACTGGGAGTTGGACCCTTTCAGTCGCTTGAATTCACGATGTTTTGCCGTCAAATCAACCAACGCAACGTCCGTGGTTGTTTTACGCATGTCCAAGCGGCTCAGTCAAAGTGAAGGGGGCAATGGAATTGTGTTGGTCTCGCTGAAAACAAAACAGATTGACATCCATGTTTTGTCCTCTTCTTTTTTTTCCGCCTGCGCTTACAAGTCGTTTCTCGTTCAGCTTCTCGATCTGAAATGTCAGACCAGGATCCGCGAGCTACTCTGCATGAGAGTGGGCAGAAACAGCAAAGCCAGCAGCCCCAAAAATGACTACTAGCTTCCCAAGTTTTTGGAGACTATTTGCTTTTGTCCAGTGCCATCATTTCAGTAACCACCGTCTGAGAATCCACTCAGGACCCGAACATCGAAGCCTTTACCCCAGATGGCTGGCTTCGCACCGGAGACAAAGGCGGCATGGGGTGGGAGACGTTTTTTCAGCCCCTTGAACATTGCAGAACCTTCCCTAAAGGGAAGACTCCTTTTTGGAACACTCTGCTTCTTTTGGAAGACGGCTTTGCCCCTTTCCGGGCAGTTCACAGATCCTCAATCCTTCGTTGCCCCACACCTCTATGGATTAGCATTGGCCCCTTCATTTTGAATGGGCTTTGTTTGGGTTCATGAATTTGTAAAGGCTCCTAGTATTTCTATTGTATTGCATACCGTTCCATTGCCAGTGCTCAATGTTTAATCGAAGTTAGAGGGCTGACCCTTTCCCTGTTGAGGGGCTGACTTTGAGAAGGCAGGGTCCAGGTTCCCCTTTTGTCACGCGCTCTGACATATCCCGGTTTGGTCATTTTGGGCAGGATCATACTTTGGTGGAGTGTTGTTTGAAGGGAACAAACAAGGAGCCTTATTTGTGGCTTTCTCTTTGATTGATGCCTAAAGGGAAGTACAAGGCATCCTGCATCGTTTGCCAGTAGAAAGGGACTGCCAGCTCGGGCCAACGTGGATCATGCATCGGCAGCAAATCTTGACCTGCGCTTCGCTTGCGAAATGCCGTGCCTCCTTTTTCAAACGATGCAGCGAGTCCACACGGAGCGAGGGCAAAGACAGTTGACGACTCGGTCCAAAACCAAATATCAAGGCTTCAGCTGAAGAGTTGGTGATATCTGGCAGCGGCGGATTGGCCGAAGTCCGATTGCCGCTGGTGAGAAGCGACCTCCGCTTGCCCTCCCTTCCACTAAGGGCAGTTGTGGGAGGTACCTGGAAGATCATGTTCCTCTTGTAGGACCCCCTATCAGGTTCCATGTTAGCGGGAGTGAGGGTAGTAGAATTTAACTTACGACACAAAGCCATGATGGCTATTTAGAACTGGGGTTCACCCCCGAGTAGCTTAGAAGTTACAATTCATAACCATGGCTATGATTGAAACAAATGAATACGCAACATGCGAGGCTACATCGATGAGAACAACTACCTGTGCCTCTCTGGGCGCTACAAAGAGATCATTAACCGGGGCGGTGAGAAGATCTCGCCCTTCGAGGCGAGGTGTTCGCGAAGTCGCCTCGTTGCTCGGTGGATTCAACCCATAAGCTCCCTGGAGTCGCCATGGGGACTTTTAAAGAAGGAAACCGACCATGAGGAATTGGGAGTTACCTCAAATCCCTGTTCGGTTATATGGTTGGTCCAGTTGCGTTTCTCGAGGTAAGAATCGGTGCCAAAAACTGGCAACGATCTTGCAGATGAACCCAAAGTCGACATGAATGCAGCTTTCATAGGTCTTGGGGATGAATGATCATGAATTTATATTGTGTGTTCTTGTTGGGGCCCACTGGAGCCAAGATGCGTCGTGCCAGTCATGAGGGGTAAGCTACGGACAAAATGAAGACTATCTGGCGACCAGACTAAACTCACCGAGAAGGGGGCAGTGCGCCAGCGGCCGATGAATCGCTTTGCTTGGCTTTGGGCAATAGTCACAATCACGGCCTCTGCTCTGCTGGCTAGATGCTGGCCTCCAATCTGCCACCCGTTTAGCCAAGCCCACCCTTGGCATTGCTCGTGTTTTGGTCATGGCTTCCAAGAGCACACGTCCAGGTGTACCGGTTGTTCGGCGGCACCCACAACATCCAATATAGTTTGATGGGTGGGCCAATTCCCAAAATATGCGGGTCCTCGTTTTCTGACAGGGCCACATGGGCAGCTGACTGCGTTTTAGTCGAGAGCCACAGAAGAGGCTCATAATGGAACAGTACCATTTAGTCACTCGTTGTAGCTGGGGGTCTCATCTTGAGCGTGTCACTGTGTGGATGAACATCATCCACTTCGTACCAGTTGGGATGGATGGAACCCTATGAATACTGGGCTACACCACCTGCCAGCTGTCCCATGGTCGGATGGTTGGCAAGGACCCAGCCCCAAGCAAAGAACAAATGGAATTGTCCAGGAGCAAACAATGGACCCCAATATAGACATCGAAGACTGGTCCAAGCCCATATAGACATCAAACAAGGCATGAAACATACGAACATATCGCATCTTGGAGTCAATAGCCGTTGGGCTGGTGCTGAAACACGTTTCTAAGTGTTAATTGGATTGGGCCGTAGAAGTCAGGAACAACACTTAGAAACGAAAAGCAACTGTTGGGAACATCACTGAAACGTACCTGCTGGCAAAATAAATTTCCAAAACCGTCTCTAAGTGTATGTCCGTCACTATAGAGCTTATTGGGCACTATTAGGCGCTATTAGCTCGGGACTGGCGTGCCCCTTTTGGGTGGGGCCTTGACCCTGCTGTGGGTGGACGAACACCTGCACCACTTTGAATCCAGGGGAAACCATTCTTCAAGTCAGGGTTTCTTAGGTGGTGCGAAATGGAATTCGTCCATCCGCAGTAGGAAACTGATCCGAAACGAATCCCAGTCCAATCGTGACTCAGGTGGAGAACGTGTGCCGCCAGTGGCCCGCGGTCTTCGACTGCATCGCCTTTAGCTGCCTGGCAAAGACCAGCGACCTTTCAAATACTTGATGCTCCCTGAGCGGTGGGTGTTTTTCTCCATATGAATCCTTGGTTTTGCAAGGTGCGAAGAGGTGACTTCAGCGCAACGTATCCACACAAATCAAAGGTACCGCCGAGGACTTCTTGGTAAATCCGGGAAACAAGGTTTGAATTGACTGTGACCCTTTCCATCTCGTGGAGCTGAAAGGTGCCTGCTGAAGAAAACATGCCCTTCAACCTCACCCCACCAACTCCCCCATTTCAAAAGCAGTTTCGAGAAAACCAGGTCAATGTGCAACTGAGGCTGTCCACACGTGCAGCTGGGTGAGACCGTCGGCCTGGCTGCAGTGCTCAGAGAGGGAGCACCTCGTCTCGAGTGAATCGGGTTGCTGCAAAAGTATGGGTATGGGTCAAAAAGAAACCACCAGGGGACCGCAGGGTTTATATAGTCTTTGTTTCATTTACCAGGGTCCGTTCTGGGTACCTATTTTTGACCCACAGCCGTATTGGTTTTGGTGGATGGCCCGGGATTCATGGAGGTCATAGAAAGCCATGCGGTTCGGGCCAAGTGTCCAGTCTACGGTCCATTTGGGAGGGAACTGGGGGACACTTAGTTTTTACAAAAGACAAGGACACTCACGTCCAGTGGGGGAACAGTACATTTGCACCGCTCATACAACATACAGTGAACGTGTCGGGAAAGCAGAGTCGATGCGCTGCGGGTGCTGCGCACATTTGGTCTCAGGAGGGAAACTGTGCAATGCCATAGGCAGGCTTACCTGCACTCAACCTTTTGCCTTCAGGGTTTCCTCCATGTCAACCAACTGTTTACTTCTTGTTCAAAGCTCGATTTTTTGCCTTTGGCCCAGTGCTTGTCTTAGGTTGTTTGGGTTTCTCAGTTGCCCAAAGCCAACCTTTGGACCTTTTGGTTTTCCCATTTTGGCCAATTTTTAGTGTACCAAAGGGTAAACTTTTGTTTCCAGGCAAGTGAGGTTTCCTTTTTGGTTCCTTTGTTGCCTTTAGCCCAGTGCTTGTCTTCAGTTGTTTGGGTTTTCCCTTTTTGGTTCCTTAACAAGCCGGGAAAAATGGAAACCGGCCTCCCAAGTTCCTTAAGTTGAAAGGATCGGTTCTGGGTTTTCCTTCTTTGGTTCTTGTTCAAAGTTTTTTGTTTTTTTTCACGTTTGGCCCTGTGCATGTCTTAAGTTGTTTTGGTTTTCCCCCGTTTTGGTTCCTGGTTGAAACCGACCCAAAGGATTCCTTCCACAAAGCGGCCCTTGGCCCGAGGAGAAGATAACGGGCACTCGCCTGGAAGAGCTTCGCAGCTTCGCCGCGGAGAAGATGAGCGAGAAGTGGCTGCCGCAGACCATCCTCTTCATGAAGGACCTGCCCAAATTGGGCTAATGCAGACAGCCCTCAAGAAGCCAAGGCCTGGTGGATATATATATATATATGCATATGGATATATAAATATGGTACCCCCCCCCCCCGAACCCCCCCCCAAAACCCCCCCAAGCCAAAAAAAGCTCAAAGGGCCAGAAAAACCAGAAAAACCAGAAAAACAGAAAAATCAGGGTCTAGGAGACAGATGATGGAGGCCACAAACAAGTTTGGAGTTTTCTTGGCGAATCCTTCTGAGGAAGTGAGACGGTGAAAAGGACCAGAAGCGGAAATTGCCATCGGGCAGAAGCATTATGATAAAGCAATAGATGAGGTTTGCCACACCGAGACAACCGGGAAATTGGAGGGTAAGGGAGAATCCCAGCCATAAATAGCTGTGGCCGCCTTCTTGATTCTTTATATGGTTCTGGGTCGACCATTTGTGTACCAGGTTTTGATTATGACTCACCTGGCTGTGGGTCAAAATTAAACCACCAGGATACCTGGACCACCCAAATCGGCAGAAGTTTCTGCCTTTTTGGAAAAAGGCACCTTTTTGCTGTTGGCGGCGTTTTTAGTTTCCCTGGCAGCGTTTTTTTCAAAATCAAGTTCTGTGCTAAACAGGCAGCAGGAAATCGGCGGGAAATCGGCGGAATTCGGCGGGAAATCGGCGGAATTTCGCGGAAGCAGGTTTCAGCATGTCGGACTGTTTGTTGCGTTGCGGCGTTTTTTCTTGCGGGCGGCGTTTTTTGGGCTTTTCGGCGGAAATTTCTGCCGCCGGGGCCTTTCGGCAGAAAGTTCCGCCGCCGGAGGGTCCAGGTATGGACCACCCACCAGTTTTAGTCATGGTTTCCATTTCCCAGGGTTTTCCATTTTGGGGTTACCCGATTTTTTACCCACAGCCACCTGATGACCTTCTTAGTTCTTTACATGGGTCTGGGTCGACCATTTTTGTCCAGGTTTTGATTACGACTCACCTTTTGCCACACCCAGACCACCGAAAAAAACTCGAGCTGATGCTTTGGAAGTGTCCCTCTGGACCAAGCTCAGGACATCCCCAAGGGCTCCACTGGGAAGCCGGCTCGCATCGGCCTGGCCAAGCGAATGAACCTGGAGCCCTTGGACATCGACCAACCCAACCAGGCCATGGGGTGCCCCCGGAGTCCCCGAAAATTGACGAGGAAACGCAGGGCTCCTGAAAAGATCTCCATTTTGCAACCATTTGAAACAGGGCTTCTTCCACCAAAAGAGAAACCGCCATTTACAAGGCAACGTTCAGGTGTATAGTAGGGATCCCTCAAGCGGATCAGGGGGAGAAAGGTGACGCGCGTCGTCTTCGTGTGTTGCGGGGATCCAATTCCCCCCCCACAAGATGGCGGCGGTGTTTTCCAGCTGGTGGTGTTTTTTTTTGTGTAAAACCACATGGCTTCAGTTTTCCAGCTTGTTTTTTGTTTTTTGGTAAACCACAATGTGGGGGGTGTCTCTTTTTCTTGCTGGTGCTTGCTGGTAGGGATTGACAACGAGTCTGGGTGTTGGGAATGAACTGGAAGGGGATGCTCGAGAAAAGGAGACCACAAGGGATGGCTTATGGGGGTCATTCCCTCATTCCCTGCTGACAACCAGACAGTTTTTGTGGGGACATGGCTAGCAGTGGTTTGCTTTCTGGAGCAAAGACAACTGCTGTTTCTGTCATCCCTTGAACTCTAGTAGTGCTGCAGTGTTCTGATGTTTTGGGGCCAACCACGGACCCGTTTATCGCATAGCTACCGGGGTTTGGGATAAAGTGTTAAAGGTGCAGAAACCATGCAGCATAGGTGCATTTGCGTAAAAGTTGCATGAGACCTCTCTTTGAGGGCCTCACTTGTTTTCCAGGGGAAGAAACTGCTCTTTCCCTGAATGTCTGAGTTCCTGGACTTGAAACTTTTTGGGCTCAAGTGAGTTCCAAACTTGCAGGCGCCCGAGCAAAGCATCACAGGCTGGGCCGCCGGGGTCATTCCTTCCTTCCGAGGTCACCGTGTGGGACGCCACCTCGGGACTGCCGGTGCCGGTGGATGAGGCGGCAAAGAAAGCCACGGCCAAGAAGGCGCGGAGATGTCGAGGGCACCGCGGGGGTTCATCCATTTGCTCAGTTGCCCAAAGCGAATCGACCTTTTGAGATCTTGTGGCTTTCTTGTTTTGGTGAACCTTTCAATCAAGCGGCCAAAAGGTGAACCTGTTATGCCCAAAGTGTTTTGGGCAAGTGTGTCTGCTTGCTTGTGGGTTTGAAGGGAAGCCCAGCTTGCAATTGGCCAACCCTCCAGATACCTGATCTGGGTTTAAAGGGAACCCAATAGTTCTTATTTTCCAAGTGGGTTTTTAAAGAGAATCTATTAATACTGGATGTTTATCTTATTTTTTCCAGGAGCAAATGGGGTAAGGGACGTCAAAGAGATCCCAACCATTGCCCTCCGCATCCCCACCCCCTTAAGAATGGAATAAGAATGGAGTTTGGGGAGGGGGGTGACCCCTGGAATTGTCCTTTTATCGGGAAGTCTGGATAAATGGAATTGGGGGACCCCCCACTCCCCTCCCCCTACACTTTCAACGCCAACCTTCGAGCAAGTATGGTCCTCCGCATACAGCGTTGACCAGGGATCCCAACCATGCCGTTTGCGGGGCGTGCACCATGGGCAGACTATGACGCGAGGTCACGTTTCGGGGTGCTGCGACGTCCAAAGTAGAGCTTCCTTTCTTGGGTGAGTTTCTTATGTTCGGTTTGTGACATTTTATTTTTTTTTGCCTGCAGACACTGACACAAAGCCAGACACATGTTTTGGAAATTGTGCAGATTGCGTGTTCTTCATGTTGACCTCCGTTGGAGGGGCTATGGAGGGATTTGGCTATCAAACATCAATCCTTGGCCTTAACTCATCAAGTGGACATGTGGAGGGCTTCTGCATGAGGATTAGGTTTGTGTTCTGGCGAAAAAGCTTGAGGATGTCGCTCGAATGGAATGGGTTTGCGTGTCGTTTTTGTTGGTCAACTCCTTTTGCTTGATGTGCAAAGGGAAAAGAAGAAACTGTTTGTTTCAGGGGAGTCCCGCAATTTGGAGGCAAGCTGAGTCCCCTTTCACTTTGTCGGAAATGTGTGTGCGTGTGTGTTTCACCTGGAGCAAATCTTTGGAGCCATGGCACAAAAGGATCTTTGACAAATTAGCCTGAACTTGACACTTCTGATACTCTCAGAGACTATATTACTGGAACTGGGTTGTGGGTTACTATTGGACCATAAACCAATCCACGTGGGTACGAGTCAAAATTAAGCCACCAGGGGACCGCAGGTTTTAGTCATTGGTTCCATTTACCAGGGTTCCATTTGGGCAACTATTTTTGACCCACAGCCACGTGTATGAGTCATGAAAAGTGCACAGGATGCCGTTTGACTAGAGTAGTCTTGAAAGCCTTCCTTTCTACTTCTATAGTTGTTGGAAAGAGCGCCTTTGGAAAGTTGTGGTTTGAATGCATTGCGTATGTGCCACAAAATGGGGACCTCACCCCCCGTAAACTTTGTGGTGTTTCTTTGGTTCGCCTTTTCCTCCACCCCAATTGGGTACCCTGATGAAGAAAAGACAGACACACAAATCATGATGAGCTACTAGAGTCGCGGTGCCATGCGAGTGTTTCAGCGGGGCACAAGGTGCGCTTTGCGCAAGTGCACTGATCCTGTGACAGCACGGATGCCACATATACTTCACATTTCTTTGCGCCGTCCGCAAAACATGTTCAGCATGTCCAATATGAATAGGCCCATTCGAATGAGGCATTGTAGGGTGGCCCTCTCCGACGAGTTGCGCCAAGAGATCTGCGTCGACAAACTGCCCTCCTCTCCAGAAACATGGAACCTGACTCGGGGATCCTAGAAGACGGTGTTCCTTTAACACGCACCCTCTGGTGGCTTTCATATGAGTGGACAGGAGGGTATAAGGAGCCCGAAGAACCCACAAAATATCAGGTTCTGTCGTCCACAAGACACCACAAATGACAACAGTCTTTTGAAGGCTTCCGAAACTGTTCTGCCGTAGAATTTAATCCATGTCCACTGTCTCAGCTTCGAAAGATCAGCTTCCGAATTTGAGAAAGCTCAATGACCATGGTCAAAGCTCCTAGCAGAAAGTTGGAACATGCTATTTGGTACAAGCATGTACACAGTGTGGACATTTGGCCAACGAAATCAGGTTTGGTGAGCTTGTGATTCCCAAGACAAGCTCAAGATAAGGCATTTATGTTTGTCAAAGTTCGTCGAAATGAGAATGCCAGGCAGTGGACTCTTTGGGTCGGGTGCGGGATGTGAACGACGCCAAAGACCAGGAAGCTTGTCTCCGGTCGGGCGGCCGTTGAGCTCGAACGGAAAAATGATGCAAGTGCTTGTACGTAATGAAACCGCAAACGCGTCAGGAGCTTCCAGATACGTAGCAGCGTGGGCGTCAACCGTCCAGAAGTGGCATGCCTAGGAGAAAGGCGGGTGCAACCCGCCCGGCCACTTTGTTCTGAAAGGGTCGCCACCCAATGAAAATACAGTGAGCCACAGTGAGCAAAACGCATTGCGCCTCCTTTCCTGAAGTTTACGCATGCTGAATCTGTGAATCCGAGCTCTCGAAATCCACAGAAGCGAAAAGGAAACCAGTGGCATGAATGTGCTCTGTGGGTCTTGGATGAAAATAGGTGCTGCTTTCAGTTTGGTTGGAATCCTATACCAGTGCCATCTACTTGTCCAAACCATTTTCAAGGATGGCTGGAAGGACACTGCCAACCCCCCTTCAGCATCATGCTCACCATGGTTCAGGTTCTTTTCTTGGGGATCCAACCCTTATTTCCGGTTTTGGAACGAATGCAACAATTGCAGATGCATCCCAATGGTAACATAATTGTAATGTGGCTACTGCGTACAGCAATAGGTGACCGGCATACAGTTAATACAGCGGATAGCGGGCATGCCGGGGAATGGATGCTGTGAATGTTGCAATTAATCCAACCACACTCAATGCCAATCACGCAACCACTGCCAATTTGGGCAATTCAGGGGCTCATCCGCCTTGGCTGCCTCTGTTTGATACTATCAAGTGGGCTACAGCCTTAATTAACCAGGGTTTTCTGGCCTTTCCTGCATGCACTCCCTGCAGTTTCTCAGCGACGTACGAATCTTGTGCCATCCGTTTTCCCAGTTGCCCAGAGGTGCCCTACTTCCTTGTTTCCTTTGTTGGGGGGCCTTTAAAATCAACCGGCAAAAACGAATGGCTTTTTCCCTCGGGCACTGGGCTTCTGAAATTTATTCATCGCCCTGGTGACACTTGTGCTGGCCTGCCGCACCTGCGGTTGTCGCGTGTAGGTGTTCAGACATGTGTGGATTCACATCGCACCTATTCGTTAACAAGGTGAAGAAGAAAGCGCAAGGACTTGATTCAGCTTGAAAATATCGTCTATTTTTGGTTTACGCGGTTTTCGTGTATTGGAGTGCGGTGTTTTTTGTTTGGGGTGCTCCTGGCTTTCTTTTACGAGAGCCCGCCAGGAAACCAGCCACTCATACTGCTGGTTCTCCGTGCCCAGGAGCTTGCACTCATCGAGAGCATGTACGGCTTTGCAATCCCCTGGATCTTGTTCTTCCACATGTTTCTGTACACCTTCGACTACTCGCCCCTCTGCTTTTGACGGAAGAACAAATGCATCTCACGGGTAGGTAAAATGAGCGATGTCACCCACAGGAAGGGTTCCATTCGTGGCTGCGAATTTATGCGTGGAGCCACAATCAGAGTGCACTTCCGACTAGGAGATTTGGGATGCTTGAGGATTTCCGCAACGCGCCTTAAAGTGGCATTGAGGAAGGTCTCACTTTCCCAACCTTCTGACCTTGTGGTTTCCCCCTCTTTGGTTGATTGCGTGGTTAGGGCCCCAAATGGTTAGCCTCTTATTTTTTTGGTCTGAAGCGGTACCCGCGGTTTCCTTTCCTTGAACATGACAGGACGCTTGTGACGGTTGGTTCAGGTGTGGAGCGCCGTCACCTCCATAATTCAATGGCATGTTTTCCATGGCAAATCCCTTCCAAACACCCCAGCTACATGAAAAGGTTCTTGGAATATTCCTGTTCAGGGCTTGTGGAGATTCTCCGCCCCTGCAAGTCAAGAAGTAGTCATTGGGAAGGCCTGCCCAGCCCTGTTTGCGTTGCTTCGTCGTGAGCACCTGCGACCCGGTTGCAAGCCAAAGCCTGGAACACGCAAGCTATAAGTTCAACAACCTGAATTGAGGATAGCGCAATCATCACGCTAAAAACAGATGCTTTAGTCTATTCTTGTGTGAACAAGCTTCCTGCGGTAAAGCCTTACGATATGATATGAGCTTCAGTCTCCTTCTTTGAGTGGTTCCAGCTCGCAAAATGCAGGGCTGCAAGACCCCAAAGAGCCGGCTGCGTACTGGATGGTTGCGAAATCCCCGTTAGAACCATTTGCTTCACTTTCCCTGAAGGAAATGCGTGCCATGGAATGGGAGCGGATGTAAGTATCCCTTGTTCATTTTGATCGGGTTCCTGGTGTCTAGAGGGCGTTCAGATCACTTTTGGAGGGTCCCACTTTTTGAAAGGACGGGTTTCACGGTGCAGGGCTGCCACTTTCTCGTCCTGGAAAAGTTTCTTCACCTGAGGTATGGGGATGCCGCGGGGGACTACACGGCGCCCTTCCGCAAAGAACAGGACATGTGCGGGCATGTGCGGGGCAACGTGTTTTTTTGGGTCATAAATTGTGGATGGACAAAATCCTGCATCACTTGGAAACCATGGAAAACAATTGTTTGTTGGCATTTACAGGGCAATTACCTTCCAGGATCTCTGAGGTGGTGCAGGATTTTGTCCATCCAGAGTAGGGCGAATGATGTCATGGATTGGGGGCGTCGCCAAATGTTTTGCAGCCATATGGGTGTGGGTCAAAAAGGGTACCCCCAAAATGGCCCGGTGGCAAATGGACACATGTACTAAAACCTGCGGTCCCCTGGCGGTTCAATTTTGACGCATACCTATATTTTGGGTACAGCAGGACCCGTGGATGATCGGCCTCCGGCTGGGCTACAGCATGAAGCCTGCCCCTCGCAGACCTGCTATCTCGGTGGCTGGGGATGGAATCACCCTTAGGTCTGTCTCAACCTCGGAGTTTGACACGGAAGGCAAAGGGAAACCAACCCCTCTATCTTGAACACCCATGTCAACTCCAGGAACTTTGGTTGGACCCCCTGCCAGCAAAACGAAAAGGACACCAGCCATTTGGATTGTCTCCCTTTTGACATCAGAATTGTAGGCCCCCTTCCCCTTAAAGTGGAAGGATTCGTGGGGCATTCGAACATGCTCAGAAGCAGTAGCGCACCAAGGAGAACTTGAGTGCAGATTCGGTACTGTTTTTACAACCTTGTTTTACTTTTCAGCAACGCTCTGAATCCAGATATTTGGAGCCATTCTCGGATCACTAGGCTACTCAAAGGCTGTGGGACTAGTGGCTCCAGCAAGTCCATTGAAGGCTTCATGCGAGCGCATTGGAAAGGCCGTGGCAGATTTGTATATGAGCAACGGACAAGCTCACTACACCCGCATTTGCAAAGGAGATGCGGTATTGAAGGCATGGCGCGGGGAGAATACTCACCAAGCTGTGTTGTCTCAATTTGTTTGGGTTCAAATTGGTAAGGCAAGGGTTCCTTTTGGCGAGTACCCTCCAAAAACCACACCCCAAATTTCCCCAGAAATTGGCGATGGAGGGTGGGGGGAATAAAACCTCAATTACAAGGTCAGTAGGGACGCCGAAATTACTCGTCGTTCGGTTGAGCCACACAATTCCTCGACACTTTGGCAAATGGGAGAACTGCTGTGATAGAGTTGCAGATGAGTGCAAGCTGCAAACCTGAGAGGTGAACCAATTTGTGTTGCCTGTGTAGTTCTGCAGAACGCCAATCCACGCCTATGGGTCTTTGGACATGAGCGGTTGTTTCGTTTGGTTTTCCGAGTGTTTCGATTTATGGTTGTTTTAAGAAGTACGCAGAAGCTAGGGCCCCCATCCCAAGCCTTTCTCGGCTTCTTTTCAGAGATGCATTTCTTAGCCGTTCGCTTCATTTCAGGAGCAGCACTTCTACGACGTAAGTTTGCGGTGGCTTGCGTCGTTTCTTTTTTTACAGTCCAAGGTGACTTTGTTCCTGCTGTGCTATGGATACCTGGAGGCGCAAGACAGGAACTTCCAATTCGGAGGTTTTGAGCGGGAGCTGGTGATTGGTCTGTTGATCATCACCGTGAACGTGCTGTCCTCCCTCTTCAAAACCTTCCTCGAATTCCTCGTGGGCCGCGCAACGCCACAGGATCTGCCCAAGGACTCGCAGAAATGGAAGGTGTCTTCGTTGCCTCCTTGTCCAAGTGTCCGTTCCGATGTTTTAGTGAAGTCGGCGGTTTTTTTTGTGTTCCTTTGGGGGGGGGAGGGTCGTTTCAAGCACATCAAAACAAGGGTCTCCTTTATTTAGCCAGGGTCTTCACTCAGTTTCTCGCTTGGAAGGACTCCATCTTTGAGGCGTTTTATCCGCAGAACCTTCTCTTCCACAAAGGCGGCTGCTGGACGCAACGGGGTTTTGGTTGGCACTTTCCAATGTGGGGAAAGAATGAACGAATCCATTGTCATCTGTGTGTGTGTGTCTGTTTTTTGAGATATGTTCTTCTTTTTTGTTTGGGGGGTTGGGGGGGGGGGTGGGAGGGGTTGCAAGGTAAATAGACTACCGAACAAAAAATCGGGTACCTTCTGGAGGACCTAGTTGGCATTTGGTCCTTTGGTTTCCCTTGTAAAATCCCGAGCGAGGATCCGGGTTGCGGGTCGAGAGTCGGGTCCTTGTCATCCCAGGTTGGTTTTTGGAGTGCATCTTCTTCGGCCGCATCATTTTGGTGCTGTGCCACAAGCTCCGCATCCCGGGCTACCTGCAGAGCTTCGGCTCGAGAGCACAAAGTCAGAATTCGGATCCCTCGGGCCTTGAGGCGTCGTTTTTCTCTTGGGAGAGCTTGTCTCATGCAAAGTCTCCAAAGTGTGGAATATGTTAAGATCGCTTCTTGTCAATTTGAGATTGGGGATGGGAACCGGTTCCTACGTTGTTCTTTGTGTTGTATGAACTTGCACCTTCCAAAGTGTGGAAATTACACCCCTTGTGTACTGATCCTTTACAGTTGCATCGCCCTTGTTTCAGTAGCAATCAGCAACAGAACCGCGCTGAGGATCCTGGTGGCTCTCTGCGTGGCTGCATGGCAGCCCCCGCGAATGTTGGAGCCCCGGCAGAGCGTGAGCGCGCTGAGCCTGGCGTACGTGATGCTGGCAGGAGGCGCCTACGTGGCACCCGTGGCTTGGATGCGAGATGAAACGCGGCTGAGTCAAAATGCGGATTGAAGCAAGTAGAAGGAGAGATGGGAGGGAGGGAGGGAGGGAGAGGGAGAGGGAGAGGGAGAGGGAGAGGGAGAGGGAGAGGGAGAGGGAGAGAAAGAGGGAGAGGAGGGAGAGGGAGAGGGAGAGGGAGGAGAGGGGAGGGGGGGAGTTCCCTCCTTCCCCCTTCCCCCTTCTCTCCTTCCCCTTCCCCTCCCCTCCCTCCCCTCCCCTCCCCTCCCTCCCCTCCCCTCCTCCCTCCCCTCCCCTCCCTCCCCTCCCCCTCCCCTCCCCTCCCCTCCCCTCCCCTCCCCTCCCCTCCCCTCCCCTCCCCTCCCCTCCGGGGAAGGGGGGAAGGGGGGAAGGGGGAAGGAGGGAAGGGGGAAGGAGGGAAGGAGGGCAGGAGGGCAGGAGGGCAGGAGGGAAGGAGGGAAGGAAGGAAGGAGGGAAGGAGGGAAGGAGGGAAGGAGGGAAGGAGGGAAGGGCACCTGGAAACTCCACCACCCTTCAACGGTTCGCTCACTGCAGAATGATTGGCACATTACCCCATCGTTTTCCCGGGTCACGCAAACTCCAGGCAGGTTTGAGATTTGGTGGCAGGATTCTGATTTGTGGTTGCCACGGCCAGCATGAAGTAATGTGACCTCATGTTCAGAGGATCATGAAGACTCCAGGTAGATTACAAGGGGCCAAGCAGTTACAACCAGAGTTATCCTTTCATCATGGGGGTTTTGCTTACTAGTGCCCCACGACCGCATTCTAGCTTTTTAGGCCGATTGTTAGTGACTCTTACCAAATGGCTAACAGGCCAACATCACTATGTGTTTCGGTTTGCCGTCTCCAAACCCTTAAAGCATGACTAGTGTACCCATAATCTCGGGCCCATTATATTTTTGGGTGGACACTCCACGTTCATTCTCCACTCCAACCCCCCGCTTCGGTCGACCTTTTCGGGTGGCGCAAGGTCTTTGTGCGGCGCTTCGGCACTATGAAGCCCAGCCTCGCGCTGCGCACGGCCGCCGCGGGGTATTTGGCGCTCTGCTGCTGTTCCCCCAAAGCCACCAGCGCCTCGCTCGAATGGTTCGCTCAGTTCAGAGCCGAACGACCGGCGGAGTTACTCCCAGAGTTTCTGGACGTCCTTTTTGGGAGGAGAATCTTAGTGGCAACAACTAGTTTGGACTGTTTGTGGACAATTGGGAAGTGAGACGATGACCAGAACAAGGCTCAAATCTTTCTCATGTTCTTTAATTGTTCTTTAGTTTCCCTTGACCACAAGCCACATCCCTTGTGGCAGGTTCTTTGGCAGCAACTCTGGATCGTAGAAATGGTTGGGCCTCAGGGTGCCACGGAAAGGCTTATTCCACACAACTGAGTCGGTTTTGCAGGCAGAAGCGCTGAAGTGCGGAGTCCAGTTTGGCTGTTCCTTCAATAGGGGCTTGCAATATTTTCCACTTGGCAGCACAATCGACTAGAGATTCAAGCGCACACGCTTGGCACCACGTAGCTTCAGGGGTCTAGGTGTTCAGGGGAATCCTCAAACATATTTCCCTGCTTCCTTTGTTCCCCTGCCTTAGCGCTTCCCTTTCCAGGTCCCTGTATCCTATTTTGGCTTCCTTGGGAAACCGCAAGTTCTGTCCTGTTTCCCTCATGTCCAAAGGGTCGACCCATTCTCTTCAGCCTTGTTTGCAAAGAGAGAGCCATTCGATTTGCCCTGGTCATCGGGCCCTTCTCTGAAGAGAAAAGACTGTTCCTCTTCGAGCACATGTACGGGGACTGTAGTTTGTCAGGCAGTTATGCTTTGGATCAACTCCCAAATTTGAGTGTTTTTGAACATCTCTTTGGCACATCTCTTTTGGTTTGATTGCATTCTTGACCTTTGGCCGTTGAAGCCCTCCCTTATTCGCGCCCCAGGCTTCAGCGATGCCTCCCGCATGCCATGCCTGGAGCAGACCTTGCTGCCGGTGACGGCGGCACGGCAAGAGCTTGAGTCCGGACTTGGGACCTCCAACAGCTGGCTTGGATTGGCGGAAAGTGATGGCTTGGAGATTTGCCGGCATAGTTTCCCATTTACCCACGACAAGAACCAAAACCCAGAAACCACCAATCCAAACCACCGATTAAATAAGGGTCACCTGATGAATGAGTTCATATGGGCTGAAAAAAATACCCCGCGCCTTTTCGTTATGTAAGGGGCCGTCCCTTAACTTGTTTCGCAGGCCAAAACCATTGTAAACCGATACAGAGGAAAAAAAAACGATACCCCCAGAAGCCATGAAGACACACATCAGGTCCTAGTTGTTGTCGCAAACCAAGATTGCGGAATCATAAATTTGCAGGGCCCAAACCGATACCCAAACCGATACCCAACCGATACCCAACTCATTGGCCGCCGTGCCGAATCCAACCAGCTGCCCTGCAGCCTTCTCTGGAGCTGCCAACATGTACTTTGTGTACTACATTTGTACTGAAAAGTTGCGACTGCCGCTGTGGAGCTGCCAAAATGTACTTCGTATACTACACCATACTACACTTGCTTGCACTGAAAAGCTGCGACTTTCGAGCCGGAGCTGCCAAAGTGTCCTGCGCATACTACTGAAAAGTTGCTACTTTCCAGCTGGAGCTGCCAAAATGTACTGTGTGTACTACACTTGTACTGAAAGTTGCGATTTCCAGCTGGGGCTGGGAGCTGGCAGAGTGTACTTCGCCTACTACACTTGTACGGAAAAGTCGCGACTTTCGAGCCAGAGCTGCCAAAACACTGCAAACCGATGCAGAGGAAAAAAAACCGATACTGACCGATACTGAGGCATAAGGATACAAGGGTTGTCCACGGGGTTTTTTTTTCAACCCATATGAGTTCTGGGACATCAACCACATTTTGTTCGAACGCATTTAGTGTCTCTGAACCGACACGCCTGCATCCAGTGCCTGTGCCATCTATGATGTAAATGTTGTTAAGCGGCATTCGGGCAGGGGAGACTCACTAAATGTACTACAAGGAGACTCAACAATTGTCCCAGGCCCGTTACAACGACCTCATATATATATATATATATACCTGGGGCCTCAAAAGACTGCCGTTTTTTGGTCGCGGTTCAAAAGACCACTTTTTTAGCCGCGCGACAAAAAACGGTCGCGCGGTACAAAGAAATGAATTTCTCGCATTAGACCAAAAATCATCATCATGGCAACCGCAGCCCCATTGTGATATAGCGTGTCTGAGCTTAAATACGGCTCTGTGCGGTTTTGTGCGGCATAGTGCGGTGTTGTACGGTTTTGTGCGGGTTTTGTACGGAAAAACTAGACCACGGTTGGCCCGAAAGCAGAACATCGCAAGCGAGGTCGGCCCAACGCTGCAGGATGCGTTCTTTTTCCCTACACGAAGCATTCGTGAAGCAAGCGCGAGACAGCACCAGGCAAGGTGCTCTGCGCAAACTGGTCGGTGCAAGTTGGTCTGCGCAAGTTGCTCTACGCAAGTTGCACTGTGCAAGTTGCTCTGCGCAAGTTGCTCCGCGCAAGTTGCTCCGGCAAGTTGGTCCCTGCAAGTGGCTCCCTGCAAGTTGCTCTGTGCAAATTGCGCTCCCTGCAAGTTGCTCTGTGCAAGCTGCTCTGTGCAAGTTGCTCTGTGCAAGTTGCTCTGCGTAAGTTGCTCTGCGCAAGTTGCTCTAGGCAAGGCGCTCTGCGCAAACTGGTCGGTGCAAGTTGGTCTGCGCAAGTTGCTCTGTGCAACTTGCTCTGCGCAAGTTGCTCTGCGCAAGTTGCTTTAAAATGCAAGTTGCATCTTGCGACGCCCGCCCGCGGACCAGGGAGAAATCGAACCCGCGACCCGCCGGTTCCGGGAGCAGCGCGCGAACCACGAGACAACTCCCGAGGACCAGCTCGAACAACAAAAGTCGCAAAAACCTCGAGTTTTTGCACCTCCACCACGCCGATTCCCGCAGAGGGTTGCGCGAGCACCGTGGAAATCGCAAAAAACTATGGGTTTTTGCACCTCGACCACGCCGATCCCCGCAGAGGGTCGCGCGAGCACCGCAGAAACCGCAAAAAACCATGGGTTTTTGCACCTCGACCACGCCGATCCCCGCAGAGGGTCGATTTTCGTGTAGTGTCGTCGGCACTACCCCGCCGCCCTAAGAAGAGATTTTAACTCCTCGCAAGTCAATTGCACTTGACTCCTTGCACTTGCAACTTGCACTTGACTCCTTGCTTGTTTCAAGGAGTCATTGCAAGGAGTCATTGCAAGGAGTCATTGCAAGGAGTCATTGCAAAGAGTGATTGCAAGGAGTCGGAGTCATTGCAAGGAGTCATGAGAGCCATTGCAAGTTGCAAGGAGCCAAGTGCATGGAGTCAAGTGCAAGTCGCAAGTGCACGGAGTTAAGTGCAAGTTGCAAGTGCAAGGAGCCAAGTGCAAGGAGCCAAGTGCAAGGAGCCAAGTGCAAGGAGCCAAGGCATGGAGTCAAGTGCAAGTTGCAAGTGCATGGAGTCAAGTTGCAAGTGCAAGGAGTCAAGTGCAAGTTGCAAGTGCAAGGAGTCAAGTGCAAGTTGCAATCCTTGCCATGACTCCTTGCAATGACTCCTTGCAATGACTCCTTGCAATGACTCCTTGCAATGACTCCTTGCAATGACTCCTTGCAATGACTCCTTGCAATGACTCCTTGCAATGACTCCTTGCAATGACTCCTTGCAATGACTCCTTGCAATGACTCCTTGCAATGACTCCTTGCAATGACTCCTTGCAATGACTCCTTGCAATGACTCCTTGCAATGACTCCTTGCAATGACTCCTTGCAATGACTCCTTGCAATGACTCCTTGCAATGACTCCTTGCAATGACTCCTTGCAATGACTTTCATGGTGACGATTCCTTGCAATGACACCTTGTAATAACTCTCATGAGAACAACTCAAGTGAACCCAGCGGAAGAACCCTTCGCCATGCTTTCGGGAAATACGGTCGCAACATGTCACAAAAATGGTCGCAGCATGAGAAAAAGCGGTCGTTGTAAGGAACAAAGGTCGTGGTCCGAGAAAGAAACGGGCGTTTAACCAACAAAAATCGGTCGTTGATAGCAACATCACAGCCGTATGCAAAAACACCGTCGCATCATGATAAATTACGGTCGTTTCAGTAGCCACAGCATGCTGCACACCCATTTCTTGTCAAACGTGCGTTGGTTCAAACAAACCAATGTTCACAGCCTGCGTAAGTTGCGTAGTGTCCACTTGCCTGAGCAGCATGCCATGGCAGGCATTCCGCACGTTTGAAAGTAAAATGGTCGCTCCAAAAAATGGTCGTACGAGCAAAAAATGGTCGCGCCGTACCGCAACCAAAAAACGGCAGTCGTTTGAGGCCCCAGGTATACATATGTTCAGTCGGTGTAATAATCGCATTTGCAGGATCATCCCGACGGTTTTGTGCGGGTTTTGCACGGATTTTGTACGGGTTTTGTACTTAAAAACAGGTCGAACATCGTCGTTGTAAGGAACGAAGGTCGTGGTCCGAGAAAGAAACGGGCGTTTAACCAACGAAAATCGGTCGTTGATTGCAAAAAACAGCCGTATGCAAAAACACCGTCGCAGCATGAGAAATTACGGTCGTTTCAGTAGCCACAGCATGCTGCACACCCATTTCTTGTCAAACATGCGTTGGTTCAAACAAACCAATGTTCACAGCCTGCGTAAGTTGCGTAGTGTCCACTTGCCTGAGCAGCATGCCATGGCAGGCATTCAGCACGTTTGAAAGTAAAATGGTCGCTCCAAAAAAATGGTCGTACGAGCAGAAAATGGTCGCGCCGTACCGCAACCAAAAAACGGCAGTCGTTTGAGGCCCCAGGTATACATATGTTCAGTCGGTGTAATAATCGCATTTGCAGGATCATCCCGACGGTTTTGTGCGGGTTTTGCACGGATTTTGTACGGGTTTTGTACTTAAAAACAGGTCGAACATCGTCGTTGTAAGGAACAAAGGTCGTGGTCCGAGAAAAAAGGGGCGTTTAACAGAAAAGATGGTCGTTGATTGCAAAAAACAGCCGTATGCAAAAACACCGTCGCAGCATGAGAAATTTCGGTCGTTTCAGTAGCCACAGCATGCTGCACACCAAATTCTTGTCAAACATGCGTTGGTTCAAACAAACCAATGTTCACAGCCTGCGTAAGTTGCGTAGTGTCCACTTGCCTGAGCAGCATGCATGGCAGGCATTCAGCACGTTTGAAAGGAAAATGGTCGTTCCAAAAAAATGGTCGTGCGAGCAAAAAATGGTCGCGCCGTACCGCAACCAAAAAACGGCAGTCGTTTGAGGCCCCAGGTATACATATGTTCAGTCGGTGTAATAATCGCATTTGCAGGATCATCCCATTGAAATCCTTTGGGTGATGTTTGCGACAATGTGTTTTCCTGGCGCTCTCCTTACGACAAGCGGCTCGGCCGATGGTCATATTTTGTGGATCGCCGTACTGATGAGAAAAGGCGAAGACCCTCAAGGCCAAAAGGACTCTTTCGCGTTCCCAACAACACTTTTGAGCCATGCCCGTGCTTGGAGAGAAAGCAGCTGCCTGTGTTTAGAGAGGCACGCAGCTTTCCGGTGTACCCTAGAGATAGGGTTTGCCGGTTGACTTTTAGAGAGGAGGGAAATCTTTGCACTTCGTTCGGGGTCTCTTTGTTTTCCCCGGCCAAAAGGCAAACACCACAAAGATAATTTCCACAAATGGCTGGTTTTCTGTTGACTCGGTCCCCCAATTTGGACACACCTTGGTGGTTCCCAGCCATGCCCTTAGGTTTGTAGGTCGGGTTTTTCTCACTAAACTCCACTAAACATGTGTTGGATGTTTGGCGGATTCATGCGGTAGGACATCTGTAAAGTTTCTTGAAGCTCGGGTACAACTGGCGGCCAGCTGGAGACTTATGGCTGTGAGCTGCATTGGAGTATTGGAGGACTCAGCCACAGATCATGTCAACAGGTCCCCCCTCCCGCGGGACGAGGTGTGCTTGCCCTTCTCGATGGCCCAGCAGGCGCTGTGGGTGGCAGCAGTGGCGGTGTTGCTGGCGCCGCAGGCGAATGCCGCCGGCCCGCCCAACACCTGTGGATGGTTTCGAAATCCAAAATCCCGCACCACGAAAGGAAAGCATGCTTGAAACCAGAAGCTTTGTAACAGGGCAATCATGCCAGGGTTTTTTAGGTGCGGTTCGTGGATTTCGATACCATCCACAGCGCCCACCGAACACCCGCCGAAACCTCAGACCGATCGGGGACCCCGAAAATGCGGTGTTTTCCCCTTTGAAGCTACACAAACTGGGATCCCTCAAAGGACACATCATTGAGTCACATCCGGATCTGACTTCGCTTCTTGAGGTGGGCTTTCTGCGGCAACTGGGGCGCTACGCCCTGGGCGCCTTCCTCTTTGGAGGCACCACATGGATGTTCCTGCGAGACTATGGCGCCTCGAAGTGTTTCACGCAGCGTCTTCTCGGGGCCGTTCTTTTGGTTATTTTTTGACATTTGAAGGGAACCTTGTGTTTTTTAGCTGTTTCTCCAAGACTAATTATGGTTTATTGAAAGGACACCCCTGGCTCATGTTTGTGGAGTATTTGCCATCATTAGCTGGCCATGCTTTGGAAATCAACGGAGTCAGACATTCTGGGGGAATCAGTTTCCAATGGTTGGCTGAAAAGTTGGTCCGAAGGGCGTGCCTTCCATTTCTCTTTTTCTCGGGCGACAGCTACTGGGCTGTGGGGGTGTTCGTTTGGGATGGCTTTGGGAGAGGTTGCCGGTGCAGGCTGTTCCAGGGAGTTTCCGGATGTGGGGCTGAGAATATATGTTACGCTTTGTGAAACACAAGGCATCTCCTCCAGAAGTAGAAGCCCTCTTTAAGGGGGTTTGTTATTTTTTGAGGGAACCTATTATAGGTGGTTCACCCCCCCAAACAAAAAGGAGTACTTAAAGGGGCATTGTCCTTAGTAAGGGGTTAGTAAACCTTGTTATAACGCAATTATCATGGTTGTAAGTCTCCTAAGTGGGCTATAACCAGGCTTACTAACCACTTACTAAGTACAATGCCCCTTCAAGTATCCTCAAAAAGCACCCCCCAAGGAGTCCCTTGATTTACCTCAACCAGCGACGAATCGGCTGACTCATTCCCATTGACTCGGCAAGACTCCATGTCTTTGCTCCTTTCACATGACTTTCCTGTTTAGACAGACACGCATTTGGTTCCTTGATGAACTGTCCCCAAATCACCATGCGTCACCTTCTTGTTTGAGAAATTGTCTTTCTGAACCATTTTCATCGGACTGAATGTCCCCATGTCACTTGCCATTCAACCATCAGAAGGGAGCGTACCGGGTTTGGTCCCACTCTGCTGTTCCTTGCTTTGTGCCACGCCCTTGCTTTTTGGTTGATCCCTTTGTTGTGGCTGGCTAGTTTTGTCCCGCTTTGATGCCATTTCAGTTGTTGTTTGTATGGTTGGCTATCCACGTTTTGTCTTTTTGGAAGAATCCATTGATTCGTTGTTGGTATTGTAATCCTTCTGAACTTCTGGTCCAAACATGCCAAGCCTCCCAACCGAGCTCCGCTTTGATCCGACCGCCGGCCTTGAGGCGTGACGCTGGGGGGCGTCACTCTGCTGCCCAGCCTCGGCCAGGTGTCGCAAGCCTTCAAGGGCCATCCAGGCGCCGAAGTCTCACGCGCGCGGCCAAATTTGGCTCAGTTGTTCAAAGCCGACCTCTTGACGTTTTGGTCTTCCCATGTTGGTCCATATAAGTCATGACCCCAAAAGGTTAACCTTTTAGTTCCAGGCTCTTTGGGCAACTGAGTTGGGGCACCAAAGGCGGCGCTCGGTTGGTTGGAGTCAACTTGTGGGCAGCATCGTGTTTATTGATGGATGCAAGGTGTGGCTAGTGTTGCGTGTCACTTGTTGTTGCCATGGCAAGAGAGGGCGAACAGCCCTGGAAATCAAATGCAATCAAGTAGGACTACTCATATACAGGTTGGAGTACAAACCGGCCCGCGAAGGTTGTCTATAGAAGGGTCAGTGGCGAACAAATACGCCCAAAACCGGTGACGCGAGCCAAAGACGGCACGAACCGTCAGGTGTGTTGGATCCCCTTGTGTCCAAAGATGATTCTTGCGAAGGGGGCAAGAGGCGCCCCCAAAGGGTGCAAGGGGCAAGGGGCATTGGACGCGTTATTGACCCCGAAAGGCACATCAAGGGTGGGCTCGAAGAATTCCTCATCAAGGGGTGGCAACTTGGGATTGTTGGCCTCGGGGCAACGGCCCCCCGGGCCCTAAAGAGGTTTCAACAGGCCTCGCGAGGTTTTATCCATCCCAACGCAGATTGATCGCAGATTCCCATTGGCGCGTTTCGGGCGCGCTCCTGGCAGCCGATTAGCAACCAAAACTGAGCAGCGCCAGGCGACGTCGGGCTGACTGTGGGCTACATCCTCTTCCTGCTGGCGGTGATTTACTGCACCTGCTTCTTCACGGGCCTCGTGTTCCACACCTTTGTGGGCAGCATGGGCAACTCCGAAGAATCCCCAAGTTGATGGGTGTCGAGCGATTCCACAACTCCATCGTGTAAAAACGAGCTCATGATGCAGGTCCTTGGCAGATCCAAGTCTTTCAGGTGTTGAAACTCTTGCAGAACAGTTCGTCAGGTCTGTTTGGAGTCGAATCATGCTGAATTAGTTTCAATCGCTTCGGCATGGTGGCTTCATTTTTGTTGGTTAAAGCTTTTGGTAGGTGTCTTCCTCATTCCTGGCAAGTTCTGGTAGGCGTGTTTGGTGGGTGCCCTTGTTTTGTGTAGGGTTCTTGCTGAAATCAATCGGGCTCTGGCCTGGTGAGCCGAGTCTGTCGCTTAGGCAAGAGCTGCGGAAAGGCCTTCCGCGTGCTACGCTCGCTCCTGGTGTCCGGCAAGTGATACACGAAGCTATGTTCGGAGGAAAAAACATGTCGAAGCGCTTGGATGGGCAGCTTCCATTTGCTGAGATGAAATCGTTTTTTGTTTGTTGTTTGTTTCTTTCTTTCCCTGGGGTTGGTTTTTAAGGGAATCTATCACTACTGGACATATGTTTGCTTTGTTTTCTTGTCCGGTTGGGTGGTGCCATGCAAAAGACATGCTCGAGTTGACGAGCGGCGAGATTTTGGCGAGCAACACAGGGTTCCTCCAGGCCTCAATGACCAAACCAGAAGGATCGAACATCAGTACAAGGCGCCCTTTTGCGTCCTTTTGCATGGGGATTTCTACTGTCCAGGCCTGCAAGAGTAGTAATTCAGTGGCTTCTCAGAGGAGAATGAAAGATCAGGTTGGCCGACCCCTTTAGTTGTGTGTGTGTGTTAAAGTACGGGACCCCTCAAAATGGTGGTTTCCCGGGCACCTTTCAAAAAACACACCCATTTTGAACAGGCCGTGCTGCCAACACACCTCAGGCATCCAGGCACATGAGTCATAGGCAGTTGGGGCAAAATCGGGGGAAAACATGTCGAGGACATGGACGGTTGAGAGAGATCTAGCTGAGGACGTTTCTCAACATGAAAAAACACCTGTTCAAGCTCCTTTGAAAGTGCTCCTATTAACTTTTTCCCAAAAGCATCTCTGATGCTTGGGTTCTGCTTTAGGTTTTCTCTTAAGGTGCCTGGGAGCGATACAAGCTGTGACGACGTAGATAAGAAGGGATTTCCATTTCGTTGTGCTGCAGACCGGGCGTGCGATGCTGGCTGGGGGTGCAGACCGGGCGTACGAGGCTGGCTGGGGGTAAGGCGGTGTGGTGCAGACTGGGTGGGCGAGACTGGCGCGGTGGACGCTCGTGACAGGCCGAAACCGCCCCCGAGCGAGACGGGCGCGGGGGACGCTCGTGACATGGGGAAACCGCCCGCGAGCGAGACTGGCGCGGTGGACGCTCGTGACAAGCGGAAACCGCCGCGAGCGAGACGGGCGCGGGGGACGCTCGTGACAGGCCGAAGCCGCCCCCGAGCGAGACGGGCGCGGGAAACGCTCGTGACAGGCCGAAACCGCCCCCGAGCGAGACGGGCGCGGGGGACGCTCGTGACAGGCCGAAACCGCCCCCGAGCGAAACCGCCCTCGAGCGAGACTGGCGCAGTGGACGCTCGTGACAAGCGCAAACCGCCCCCGAGCGAGACGGGCGCGGGGGACGCTCGTGACAGGCCGAAACCGCCCCCGAGCGAGACGGGCGCGGGGGACGCTCGTGACAGGCCGAAACCGCTTCCGAGCGAGACTGGCGCGGCGGCGCTCGTGACAGGCGGAAACCGCCCTCGAGCGAGACTGGCGCGGTGGACGCTCGTGAGGAAACCGCCCGCGAGCGAGACTGGCGCGGTGGACGCTCGTGACAGGCCGAAACCGCCCCCGAGCGAGACGGGCGGGGGACGCTCGTGACAGGCCGAAACCGCCCTCGAGCGAGACTGGCACGGTGGACGCTCGTGACAAGCGGAAACCGCCCTCGAGCGAGACGGGCGCGGGGGACGCTCGTGACAGGCCGAAACCGCCCCCGAGCGAGACGGGCGCGGGGGACGCTCGTGACAGGCCGAAACCGCCCCCGCGACGGGCGCGGGGGACGCTCGTGACAGGCGGAAACCGCCCCCGAGCGGGACTGGCGCGGTGGGCGCTCGTGACAGGCCGAAACCGCCCCCGAGCGAGACGGGCGCGGGAGACGCTCGTGACAGGCCGAAACCGCCCCCGAGACGGGCGCGGGGGACGCTCGTGACAGGCGGAAACCGCCCCCGAGCGGGACTGGCGCGGTGGACGCTCGTGACAGGCCGAAACCGCCCCCGAGCGAGACTGGCGCGGTGGACGCTCGTGACATGCGGAACCGCCCGCGAGCGGACTGGCGCGGTGGACGCTCGTGACATGCGGAAACCGCCCCCGAGCGAGACTGGTGCGGGGCGCGAGCGAGAGTGGGCGCTCGTGACGTGCGGAAACCGCCCGCGAGCGAGACTGGCGCGGTGGACGCTCGTGACAAGCGGAAACCGCCCCCGAGCGAGACGGGCGCGGGGGACGCTTGTGACAGGCCGAAACCGCCCCCGAGCGAGACTGGCGCGGGGGACGCTCGTGACAGGCGGAAACCGCCCCCGAGCGAGACGGGCGCGGGGGACGCTCGTGACAGGCGGAAACCGCCCTCAAGCGAGACGGGCGCGGGGGACGCTCGTGACAGGCGGAAACCGCCCTCGTGCACCAAAATTGTCCTTTTTGCCGCAGACCTGACCCGAACAAATGGTGCCGATGTGTTTCTAGGACGAACCCTCTGTTGTTCGCCGTACTTATTTGGAAGCAGCCTGGGTTTATGCTGAGCACACTCTGCCCAAACAAAAGGGCGCACGAACATCCGAACAGCTGACCCCGGTCTACGCAGATCGTGCTGACACTGTGTCTCAGACTTGTTACAGACAGGCGTCAGACCCACCAAGTGACCGAGGCTTGTCCACACCAAGCCCCCCGCACTTTTTGCCGCACACATGACCCGAACAAACGCCAATGTGTTTCTAGGACGAACCCTCTCTTGAGAAGCTGTGGCCTCTTGGGGTTCGCCCTACTTATTTGGAAGCAGCCTGGAAGCAGGTTGACATGAATATGCTGAGCACACTCGGCCCAAACAAAAGGGCGCACGAACATCCGAACAGCTGACCCCGGTCTACGCGGATCGTGGTAACACTGTGTCTCAGACTTGTTTAGGACAGGCGTCAGACCACCAAGTGACCGAGGCTTGTCTACGCCGAGCCCCCCGCAAAAGCACAGCGCCGGCCCCCTCCCACTCAACTTGCCATCCACATGCATCCAATTGACAACGTGCGCGGCTCTTTCCACAAAGTCAAGTTGCAATTGGTTGCGAATGGGAAAATAGGTGGAGCAACAAGCGAATCCAAGCAAGCTTACGAAGCAAGTTTGTGAAGGCCACGTGCGCGGCTCCATGTGAACAGCCCGGCGTTGCAGGTGCGCCAAAATTGTCCTTTTTGCCGCACACCTGACCCGAACAAAGGGTGCCGATGTGTTTCTAGGACGAACCCTGTCTTGAGAAGCTGTGGCCTCTTGGGGTTCGCCCTACTTATTTGGAAGCAGCCTGGAAGCACGTTGACATGAATATGCTAAGCACACTCGGCCCAAACAAAAGGGCGCATGAACATCAACAGCTGACCCCGGTCTACGCAGATCGTGGTAACACTGTGTCTCAGACTTGTTTCGGACAGGCGTCAGACCCACCAAGTGACCGAGGCTTGTCCACACCGAGGCCCCCGCAAAAGCGCAGCGCCGGCCCCGTCTCCACACACCTGCGGCGAATCCACCCAACCTGCCATCCACACGCATCCAATTGACAACGTGCGCGGCCCTTTCCACAAAGTCACCAGTTGCAATTGGTTGCGAATGGGAAAATAGGTGGAGAAACTAACGAATCCAAGCAAGCTTACGAAGCAAGTTTGTGAAGGCCACGTGCACGGCTCCATGTGAACAGCCCGGCGTTCCAGGTGCGCCAAAATGCACACCTGACCCGACAAACGGTGCCAATGTGTTGCTAGGACAAACCCTCTCTTCAGAAGCTGTAGCCTCTTAAATTTCGCCCTACTTATTTGGAAGCAGCCTGGAAGCACGTTGACATGAATATGCTGAGCACACTCGGCCCAAACAAAAGGGCGCATGAACATCCGAACAGCTGACCCCGGTCTACGCAGATCGTGGTAACACTGTGTCTCAGACTTGTTTCAGACAGGCGTCAGACCCACCAAGTGACCGAGGCTTGTCCACACCGAGCCCCCCGCAAAAGCGCAGCGCCGGCCCCGTCTCCACACACCTGCGGCGAATCCACCCAACTTGCCATCCACACGCATCCAATTGACAACGTGCGCGGCCCTTTCCACAAAGTCACCAGTTGCAATTGGTTGCGAATGGGAAAATAGGTGGAGAAACTAACGAATCCAAGCAAGCTTACGAAGCAAGTTTGTGAAGGCCACGTGCACGGCTCCATGTGAACAGCCCGGCGTTCCAGGTGCGCCAAGATTGTCCTTTTTGCCGCACACCTGACCCGAACAAATGGCGCCAATGTGTTTCTAGGACGAACCCTCTCTTCAGAGTCTGTGGCCTCTTGGGGTTCGCCCTACTTATTTGGAAGCAGCCTGGAAGCACGTTGACATGAATATGCTGAGCACACTCGGCCCACAAAAGGGCGCATGAACATCCGAACAGCTGACCCCAGTCTACTCAGATCGTGTCTCAGACTTGTTTCAGATGGGTGTAGAGCGAGCTTATGCCTTGCTTCCAATTTGGGAGTGGTAGTTTGTGCGGATCCATTTTCGGATTTCTGCGATTGGTTCTTCATGATGAATCGGATGACTTCGTGCCTTCCATGTAGCGCGGGGCCTGTCATGTTTCAACCGTGCCTTTGCCTTTTTCTCTGTGCTTGGTCAGAGCACAGGCTGCTGGCTGCCAATCCGGCTTGAGTCGCGGTTGCTCCCCTTCTTCATCTGTTTTGGGGTTGATTTCCCAACTGTGAACAATCTTATTTCCCAACTGTGAACAACTTAAATCTTGGTTTGCCTTCGGACCCTTGAGCCGGAAAACAACGGGATCCACATGCCATGGGGAGTGAGGCTGGTTTGCTTTTGGGTTCCCGGGCTCCTCTTGTTTTTGAAATAGGGGCTATCGCTGGGTGAAAGGACCTTAAGTGCACAAATCCAACCCTTGTTGGCTTGGTCCCTTTGACTTGCCCACATGGAAATTGTCCCATCTAGCCGTAGCCCTTTGTGCGTTGCGCCATGTTGGGTACCATCGTCTTCCTTTCATTGCAAAAAGATGGAGTAGTCTGGGCCCTGGCTGCGCCCCCTGCCGTCCACTTTCTCAAAAAGTCACGCCTCCAAGAAAATGACAAACATGTCAAGAGAGGTTTCTTCTTTGTGAGGAAAAAGCATGGTCGTGACTGGTATACACACACTATGTATAGTTATTTTTACTCAGGATCTAGACAATTGCTTGGTCTATCACTTATAGATGCTGCAATATGTGTACACGACATGCAACAACTGCCATGCGTTTGTTAAGCTGAAGTCAAGTTTGTCCATCTTGCCCCACAACTCATCCAAATCTTGCCGCTTCCCGCAAAGCATGGCTCAAGCGTGCTCGAGCTGAGCCAGGCGGATGTCGAGATGGGCGATGGATGGCGACTGTCACAAGTCAGCTTGCACACCGATGATATTCCTGCTACTGCTTCCATTTCGGTCAGCACGAACTTTGGTTCGGGCCGCTCCTCGCACTCGCCACCTTCCTTAATGAAGTCTGACAGCCGCTGGGAAATCCCCTTGTGGATGCGGTGGCGCAGATTCTGGGCGGTCGACTCTCGACCACAGGGCTTCATCCTTTTGAGGCAGTAGTCTTTTGAGGAGATATTGATTTCACTGAAATCAAAGAGAATCCAAAGGGAAACCGGCACATGTGGGTTGGTTCCGCTGGAGACATACCGAATACCCAAAATGAAGAAAATATGCACGAGGGGGCTCCGCAGCTCCCCTCCGAGGTCTTCGTGATTTCTGCAATCATCGGGGTCAGCATCTACAACCTGACAGCCTCTGACGCCTCCTTGTTGTACCACGCCAGGGAGTCTATCCTCGACTTGGCCACCTCCAAGGCACATAGATTCTTTTTGGGGGGTTGAGGTTCATGGTTGTGGGAAATTGGTGTGTTTGTTCTTGACGGCAACCCTTTTTGGTGGTTTTAAGGAAACCCAAAGGAAAGCCAGCATTTTGCGGGTCCCCTAAAACACGACACACCGAAATAGGGTTGTCTCACTGCCCAAAGCGAATCGACCGGGTCTGGTTTCCCTGAGTTGGTCCATGTTTGGTCAAGGTTCCAAAAGGTTCAACTCGTTTTATGTCTGCGTCTCTAAGGGGCAACTGAGTTTTGGGGAATCGAGTCTTAGATGGTCACCTTCTGTACCAAGGGCATGTTTCTTTCAAGTGATGCGGGAATGATGAAAATTGATATTATTTGAAAGGGCGAATGTCCACGACCAAGTTTGCCACTTTTTCCATGGACAAAGTATCCCCGAAGTGGGAACCAAGAACTTGGAGACGGGGATTTCCATTGCACAAGCAACAATACCCCGCATCTAGATGAATCTAAAGGTGGAAAAGTGCCGGATCCCCCGGATCCCCTCTTAAGATCATCCCGGGGCGGTATCTTAGGATGTTTTGGAATTGGGACCAGAACTCTTGAGCTGCCTACTGTTTGTGCCGTGGAAGAAGAGGATAAATTATTTCCTGTTCAGAGGCTCCATTTCAAAGGAACATGGTTCTCGAGGACCCCTCAGTCAGTTCCATGTTAGCACGGGAGGGCAGCTGGTGGATGAACTTGAGGTGTTCTGTTGGGTTGTTAGGTTGACATTGTGCTGTTGTCCTGCATGTGTGTTTTGAAATGGGTGGCGTTCCCTAGGCTTGCCCTTTGCCTTCCTTTCAAATTTTCCGATGCCCAAATCCAAAAAAGCGAAGTATGTTCAAACAGCCACCCCTTGGTCGCTGTTCAACAGGACGCCAAAAAGCAGGTGTTTACACAATCGGGGCTTCAACCATCGCCTGAACAAGGGGCACCGCCCGACGCCACATTTTCAAGCAAGAGTTCCCCTTTTCTTTCCGAAGTGAAGGTTAGGAAGGGAGAAGTGTGAATGTTCGCCCTTGAAGTTACTTACATTGAGACCATGCTAGAACCAAGGTACCCCCACCCACCCACCACCCCCCCCAAGCCACCCCCCCCAGCCAGCCCCCCCTGAGGGCAACCTGATCGCCGCGGAGCTGCGGAAGGCCTCCAGCTGCGTGCTGGCGCTGGACACCATGGTGACCTTCGACGCCTGGGGCGCCTTCGACCGAACGATCCCGCCCTTCGCGCCGGCCGGCGCTGGGGCCTGGGGCCACCGGATGCCCCGAATTAGTCCCCTCCCAACCCCCCAAAGAAAAAACGCAGGGGAGAAAGAAACACCAGAAGGAGACAGTGCGGTCTGAAAATGGCGGTCGGTGTTTGAAAGGCGTTTTGTTGTGAGTGAAAGGTGAAAGGGCTGTCCACTTGAAGACTCTTCCTCTGTAAAGGGCTCTCCATGTGAATGGCTGTCCATGCGAAAGCTTCAAAACTTGCTGGTGCGATAAGTGGGGGTTCAGAACGTGGGTATGAACCCAGGCTTTGGTCCCCTTACAGGAAACCACAAGGGATGGGTATTTCCTCATTCCCTGAGCACCAGCAAGATGGTCCCTTTTAAAGGAGAGTATGTTTTTGTTTGGGACCTCCAGGAAAAGGTTCTTGGGCCAGCTACCCTGCAATGAAGAACTCTTGAGCCGGATCCGGTTTGCGGGATGGAAAAACCATTGCCCTCCTGTCCACATTGAACCAAGAACCTCCAGAAGAAGGTGACATGTCACTGGGAGGGTAAATGATGGGAAAACAGCGGCCCGCGTACCTAAAAAGATGTTAACGGCAATGGAAACCAGTGATTCCGCCTTGGGCTTTTGCGCATCTTAGAGGAAACACCGCCATGACCATCTCGCAGCACCATTCAATCATGGTGGTGGGAAAGATGCCCAATGCCTAGGTTTCGATCATCTTGGCCCCTTTCACCGAATTGATGGTGGAACAGATGCACCCAAATCCTGGGTTTGGGGGTTGAACATTGGCCTTAACTATTATTTGATGATATTGTAGCTGTGGTGGAAGAGTACCCTCCCACCAATTAAGGAACCTGACGGGGGGTCCCTGTAAAGGAACACGGTCCTCCAGGACCCCCCTGTCAGGTTCACAGGTTCCATGTTCATTGGTGGGAGGGTAAGTCATCGGTTTCGAACATTGACCAAGGCAAGACGCTGCAGCAGTTCGACTCCGTGGCAAAGGCGCGGGGCGCACGGAGATCATCGTGCTCATTGCGTGGCACTCTGGGTTTTGCCGGTCAACAAAAACAACGTTGCCCTCAATTGGATTTCGCTGTGCCATTTGGCCATTGAACACGTCACCAGTGAAAGGGAAGCCTTAAAACGGGCACTACTTGCTGTTTTGGGCGGGTGTGTCCATCTTGGGATGGGTTTTTTGGTTTTGGCCAGGCTTGGCTGCAAGGTGTGAAACAAGTAGTCGCCCTGAGTGTCGACGCAAAATGGGTTTGGTTTAGGAGAGCACCTGGTTCAAAGCGAAGCCCACTGGAAAGCGCCAGATTTTGGGCTCCAGATCCCTTTGACACCTCCCCAATTCTTACTCTCATCCAAGCGGCGCCGAGCCTCTGGCAGGGGCTGATGCAGATGTGCCGCAGAGCCTCGCAAGGGCGACGCTGCCCTCTTTTCCAATTTGAAAACCGCACAAAAGGTTACCTCAAAAGGAACGCGAACAAAGCACAGAAGTTCTCTAGAGGATTGGTTCGACCTCGAGTGGTTTTGGTTTTGGTTCTCCATGTTTGCACACACGATTCCGTTTGGCAAAGTAGACAATGACCAACCGGCATTTCGCATGTACCGTCCATTCCACCTCTCGCAAGTGAGATCAGTGATAGATGGGGTGATGGGCATAGGCCGCGATGTCTTGTGCCTGCAGTGAAAGTGCCACCGTGGCTGCAGGGTCTTGGGCATTTCCTGCCTCCTCTTGCTTTTTGCGTGCTGGGCCCCGGGCGGGGTGACTCAAGATCTCCCATTTCCGGATGCGCACCTCGAGCCGTCTCAATGGAGGTCTCCCGAGGTTGGTTTCATGGTGTCCGCTGACTGTCCCGACGTCCCCCAGACCCCAAGCAGCCAAAGAGTGCTAGGCCGAAAAGTCTATCCACACCTGTCTCGGGGACAGCCCCACATGTTTGCTGGCCGAATGATGGCGACCTCGCCCAGTGAAAAGTGTTTTTTGTTCGGGGGACAGTCTCTGGTTTCAGGGAACCAGATGCCTGGTAGCTGGACCTGAGGGTGTGTACCCTTTTTTGTGCTGCGAAAGGACCTCATACGAGACCGCTCATTTGGTACTCCTCAGACACATGACATAGGATATGACCTTCGTTGCCATATCCTTCTTGTCTTGAGGGTTCTTGACAGCTTGTTCCTGGGACCTCTTAGGGTGATTTCCTCCAAAGACCATTAGCGATGTTGCCAATCGAGAGGTCATAAGGGGTGACATGTATGTTTGTTTGTCTTTCTTCATAGAAACCAGCTGGAAGTTCCACCTGAGAATTGCCAAATCCCGAGAAACGAATAGAAAAAGGACAACTTGTAGAGTTTTCCTCTTGCTGTTGGATCAAGGCGCCTCAGAGCTGCAGTTGGCCCCCTCCGGGAAGATACTGTACCTCTACCCCATGACGGAGGAGGCTCTGGGCCTCGATATGCTGCTGAACCCCCAAAGCGGCAGGGCCTCCTACAACTCCATTCGCCAGCAGGACATCGACTTGCAAGCCTTTTTCCTCACGTGTTTTGCGCTCTCCACCTGTTGTTGAGCGCCCCGGTTTTGGGGGTATTTGGGGGTTTTCCATTTTTGGCGTTCCCTTATTTCTGGTCTAATTACGTCGTCCAAATGTGCTCTTGCCTTTTTGGTCTTGTCCTGAGTCCAGGAAGTCTTTGCTCGTAACCACTGAAGGCCGCTACGTGTCTGATCGAAGGCGGCCCCCGACCTACCAAAACCCCCGACTGGGCTAAAGCTGGCCCAGTCCCTCCCGAACTGGGCTCGTTTTGAATCAGCAGTTACATGTCAAGGTTCACCAAACATGGACCCGAATGAAACGGAGCATTTATGTTTGGGCAAAAGATAGGCAATGCAAGGCAACTGTTTGATTCCGCAAGCAGAGTCAGTGGCACTTCAAAAGAGAGCTCAAACGTTGAACGATTTACCCTCCCATCCACAAACGTGAAGCCTCGCAGAGGGTCCTGGAAGACGATTTTGGTGTTAGAGGGTCCCTCTAGTGGGTTCCGTATTAGTGGACAGGAAGGGTACCCGCCATCCATTAGACCTCGTGCCCCCTTGTTTGGGGCCTAACCTGCCGCCAACCAACCTCTGCCACATTCGGGGCGGCCGGTGACCTCCAGAGGGGCTGTTCCCTGTTTTGGGCTGGGGGCAGGACGTCCAATTACAATCAGCCAACAACAACAACAACAACAACAACAACAACAACAACAACAACAACAACAACAACAACAACAACAACAACAACAACAAGAACAAGAGTGCCCCCTTTTTCTCATTGGCACCTGGCTTCGCATTTTGTTCATGGTCACCCGGGATGAATTTGACTGGCTCTTGGTTTTGGTCAGGAGACAAGGCTCGTCGGCCCCGTCGAGTTGGTGGAGGGCGGCTTTGGGCTCCTCGTGATACGACCCATATTTTCCCCTGTAGCGCCGGAACGCTTGCCGGATGCGTGGTATGTGCCTCAAGCTGAAAAGTGGGCAGACGTGTCCGGGTTTCTCTGTTTCTTGTTTTTGAGAGCGGGTTTCCCTTGCAAAGCAAACAGGGTGCCCTTGTTGCTTAGGGCCACCGCAGGTCTCAAAAGCACCCTTGGTGGTCATGGATGCAATGAAACTTAGCCATCAGAAGGATTCCTGGAATCATGATTATGGTCAGCATCCCAATTTCGACCATGGCACAGACCCCAAAAAGGGTTCCTGCAAAAGCAATTGGAAAACCCTTTTGAAGACAAACCCGGTGGGTTTTGGACACTGGCTCAGCAGGCATACTGAGACAGGTTTGAGTGTGCCCTTTAAGAATCCTCAACTTGGCGGCTTTCCCCTTTGGTTTCCTTTTAATGCCAACACAAAGTTCCAAATCAGTCAGCAACATCCTTAGGTTTGCGGATTGGGGTCCCATCGTTAGCAGGCTGATGGCTGGACTGCCATTTTCAAGGCTACCCTTCTTGGGGCTGTGTCAAGGGGGAACCAAGTGCCCTAGTTTTGGGAGCCATTGTGGATACCCTGCACCAACACCAGGCTTGCGGTTTCGCAGGTGTTCGTTGATCAGGGTCAGTTTTAAAACTTGTCCCACTTGCCGAAACTATCAGCCATGACTGCTAGGAAATATATATATATATACATGCTTTGAATGTGCTTTGGACATGGATACAGTTTTCAGGAGTCAAGCTTGGATGGATAGGCACCCCTTTGCGATATCAGCAGCTACCGGCTCGCTGTCCTCGAGTTTGCTTTGGATTCTTAAAGACTTCATTGCTCCTGGCGTGGCTCGTGAAAACTCCTTGTATTTCGATTGCCCTGTTTGCCCGGAAATCCCTTCTACCAGTACTTTCTGGATTGGTGTGGGTGTCGGATTCTTGCTTTGGCCTGTGATCGAACTTCTGGTACTCGCGAAGCAGTGGGCAACTTTGTCATTCAAAGCTCGCATAGCTGGATTTGGCTTCGAAGGGCGACGACTTTACAAAGTCCTTGGGTGAAGACGTTGCTTCCACTGCCTGCACTACAGTGTAGGAACTGGACAAGGTCGCAGTGCCCCCACAAACTTCGTTAGGCCAGTGGCAAGGGCGGATCTTTCTGGCCAGCACGCCCGTGAGTATGGATGAGGAGGAGCCTCTTCGACGGGATTTCACTCGCTTTTCGCGTTGGCTGTCTTCACCCACAGTTAGACAGCAGAGAGACCTTTGACATTGCCATTTTGGCAGTAAGGGAGAAAGGACTGCTTGTTTGCCTTCCCAGCCCGGCTTGGGACCGCAAAGCTGACAAGAGGAAGCTCAGGCCTGGAGCGCTCACCAAGCCAGTTAAGCTGGCTGTTCCTGGGTGTGCTGCAGAAGACAGAGTCCGCGCTATTGGGGGCACCATAGTCAATAGCTGGGTGGCTTGGTTGGCAAAGGATCTGGAGGAGTGCATTTCATTTGAGGAGGAGGGCAGTGCAAAGATTGGTTTGTCGATCGGGACAACCATGCCTTCCGTTTGCGGAGAGCCTAGAGTTGGCAGCCCGGGACAAGTTTCAAGTTGCGGGCGAGGAAGAGGAGGAGGATGTGCCGCTTGGTCGGTTGGTGGCTTTAGAGAACAAGTTCGACAGTTTGAAGGGAAGCCTAGACCGGCTGATCGCGTTGCACGAACGTGGAGAAGAGTCTGGGTATGTCACCGCTCAAGACGCCCCAGTGACTACGCCTCCTCGCTCCAAAGCGACAAGCTCTCAGGCCAAAGCTGCTCAGCCAAATGCGGTGGCTTCTCCGCCAGGCCTTTCTCATGTCCAGAGTTTCCCAGGACTCGTTCCAGGGACAGTGGCTTCAGCTCTAAAAGCAGGAGTGCCTGCTGCCCATCTACAGGTCATGAGCCAGATGATGGCAAGCAAGCCGGTGAAGTTGGGCGATGCTCCTTTGGCAGAATGTGTGGAAGACTCCGACGAAGAAATGCAGGATGGGCCCACGGAGGCCAAAGCGCCAAAATTGGATCCTGTAGCAGAGGCTTTGGTGAAACTGACGCAGATAGTTGGCAAGCTCACCAAGAAGGGGGATGGCCTCGGCGATGCGCTGGACAGTTTAGGCGGATCTGGCTCGCTGGACCAATCGGCAGGTCTTTCAAGGAAGCACGCCGCCCTAATCGCTGCTCTTCAGAAGACTTTCAGGGAGAACCCCAAGAAGATCTGGGAGACGATCGAATCCAACATGGCCAACGAGTTCAACCTACAAACAGCTCAGCCGAATGTCCATGGTGTTTCGTTCACCGCACGGGGCTGGGCAGAGCACCGTTCAAAAGTTTTGGGTTACCCAAGAAGTGTTCGGGCTACCTGGGCAATCAGCGGTGTGCTCGATGCTTTGCGGAGTGGCCACACGGACCAAGCTCGAGCTCGCTGCTGCCTTGCCCTGGCGCAGTTGGAGCAAGAGAGTCTGGATCATGGAAGCTTCCTGTTGGCCCAGGAATTCTCTCTAGAGCCGGCAGCGCCGATTTCCTCTTTTCAGACGCACGTGCTCCCAGATCGAACGGAGATGCCGCACACTCGACTCATGGACAGTCGATGGATCGATGCTTTTGCACATCGTCTGAAGGAAGTGAATTCATATGTCGAAATGAGGAAGAAGCTGGGCACCAAGACGAAGGCTCAAAGCCCTGCAAGAGTGCAAACGCCAAAAGGCGGGTTCAAGGGGAAAGGCAAAGGAGGAGGAAAAGGCAAGGTCGAAAGTCCGGCCACCGAGGCAACAGACTGAAACCTCTAGAGGTTGCGGAGCCATGTTCCTGCTCTTCGGTGTGTGTGGCCCTTCCTTTGCCCAGCTGTTCTATGTCAAAGCGGGGGACTTGGAATCCTTCTGCTTCTTTCGGTCGGGGTGTGGCGCACACACACAGAAGGCCCAGGGCCATGATTTGCGCACAGCGGTTGACTCCGCTCCTCTTGAGCCAGTCGGCGTCGGTGCCGCAGATGACTTTGAAACTTTGCATGTGGGCGCTGGTCGGAATGTGCCAGGTTCGGGCGCCCGAAGTATCAGAATTTGGCAAAGCTGGTGCAATTGGCATCAGCGGCTTTTTGCTTCCAAGACACCTTTCTGTCATTTTTACAAAGCACAGTGTTCAAGCCGGCCAGCAGCTCAGCATATAGCTGCAAACGGTTGTGTCTGGCCTATGGCACTGCCGTACCATAGGGTGCTCCGCAACTGCAACCTGGATGAGAAGGAGAAGGGGTTCAGACTCCTGTTAAACATGCAGGTGAGCTATCTCAATTTTCTTTCGCTGGGGAAGCAAGCGCACCCCCCTGTTTGCATTTGCGATCCTGTCAATCTCAGTGCATCTCAGTGGGATGTGGTGGCCAGGCTGGAAAGGCTATGCTCGTTTTGGAAAGAACAAGACGAGCTGCGCGCGACTGCAATGGGTCGCACTGCTGCCAAACAAGAAAGGCAGCAGCAAGTCCTCGAGGAGCTTGAGGCTATCAGCTGCAGAGCTGTGTCCGAGTTGAAAAAATATCAGAGTCCGCTTCGGAGACGTGGTCGTGCTTCCGTTGTTTCAATGAGAGATTTTGATGATGGCTGCCTCCCCGTCGGCTCTTTGAAGAAGACTGATATTTGTGGGGCTCAGCAAATTGTTGCCTCTCGAATCAAGATGGAAGGCAAACCAGTTTTTGACCCTGCCCTTCCTGGATGACGAAGCCGGGAAGCCTTACGCAGAGCCTTTTTACCAAGGTATTGTGAATATGAAGACTTCGTTGGATCCCCCACGGTTCGTGCTCATGCAAAGACATCCGAGAAGTCCCTCCTCCGCTTGCTTGACCAATCAGGACGTTTCAGTTTCCGAAAACCTTCTGAACTTCATCTTGGTGTTGGGAATGGCTTATTCTGTGTGCCTAAAAGTCTGGAAGTTGACCGACTTATTCTTGACGGTCGCCCTGCCAACCTGTTGCAGACGGAGCCCAACAAGTTTATTTTGACCATGGCTGCTGCCTCGAGTCTGCTGGGTTTGCATTTAAGCCAAGAACAGAAGCTGCTTTGCAGCGGGGACGATCTGTCAAACTTTTTCTACACCTTCAAGGTTGGGTAAGACAGGGCATCCCGAAACTTTTTATACCCTCGGAGCTAGTCACGAGTTTCTCTTCCTTCCCGGCAGAGTTGAAGAACGAACCTGTGGTCGACGCATGCTTAAATTCACTGGCGATGGGTGATTCTGCTGCATGTGGTTACGCGCAAACAGCACACTTGGCTATGGGTTTGCAATGCAATGCTTTGGACGCGCGCAGAGTTTGGTTACAATGCACAGTCGTATACCAAGGGGTGACATTTTGGGGGGAATCATAATCGATGATTTCATTCTCATGCAGAAAGTGCCTTTTGAGGCCCAATCTGGAGATGAGCTTGTCGCGCGGCGGGCAAAGATGCATAATATGTACCAACGCGTGGGGCTCGACGCGCATCCTACAAAGGGTTTTTCAAACACTGCGCGGGCTTCTTTTTGGGGAGCAGATGTGGATGGCGTGGCTGGCCTTGTGCGGGGTACAGTTTCCAGAGCTATATCGCTTTGCTGGGTGACCGCGCAGGTGGCTGTGCTGGGCGTTTGTTCTGTATCGCTCCTTGAAGGGGATAGCTGCACATCATATAAGAAATCATCCATTTCAACGTAATCACCACCACGCAGCTAACTACCATGATGGAAGTTCACAATCAGGTTCTGTAGCAACCTTGCCGCGCGTTGAGTCATCTGCAGGATTGTGAGCTGAGCGTACGTGCCCTGGACTGCTGTAGACACCAAAGCCCAGGACAGTTGGCAGACTCCGACGAAGTTCGCGGTTCAGCGCGCCCGACGCACTCCTACCCTTGCAGACCGCGCCAGCCGCAACCTGAGAATCACCACCAACCATGAGTCTCACCTACTTATAAGTGCTGTTATGGAACTTAAGATGAACTTACGGAGAACTTATGAAGTCTAGTTATAAGTGTAAAGTCTAGTTATAAGTGTACTTATAAGTAGTTCGTAAG